TGCAACATTTGTATGAGTAATACAGGACACCCTACCATTTATATTGTAAAACTCTCATGAAGAAATTGAGAAGAGAGAATTTGCCTGGAAAATATCAGTTGTTTAGCTTTAATAAAAAAAGTATTCTGATATAAAGTAGTAACATAACATGGATGAAAAGTTATTAACATTCTACTATGTTAATAGAAGCATTAAAATTTTATACAGAAAAGTGTTCAGTTTTTCAGACTATGAAAATCAAAGCTTGGTAATAATAGCCTTTACTGTCATTGTACATAATATATACAAAGAAATTGGCTGTATACAATGAAATTGATTATGCAATCGTTACAGAATCACTCTTAGCTAAGACACTGCACCCATCAAATGTTTGACTTCTGAGGAGAGTTATCTGTCATGCCCCTGTCAGAAACTGATTTCGAGGGGGAGGCTGAGCAGCTCACAGGGAGTAGGAGTATGGCTCCATTGGCTGTGGAAGAAACGGGGGAAGGGCAGAGTCTGGCTTGGCAGAGCAGGGGAGAGGTAGAGCAAGGCAGAGGGAATTCAGAGGAAGACTCAGGCCACCCCCTCTTCATCCTAGGGCATGCAGGGAGGAACGAAGAAGGGAGCAAAGTGACTTGTGTGGCTTGTGGGGGAGGAAGGGGCCCTGATTCCCTTCATCAGCTGCAGCTAGAAACACAGTGTTTAAAAAAAGAAGCTATGCACAGCAAAGTTGTTGGAAGCAAATGAGTTATATGTTATTGTCGAGGCTTATCTGGGTTCCTGGTGTCTTCCCAACTGTGTTTTGTTGGCCTCTCAAGTCTGCAATTCCTTATCCTGCCCTTTCAAGTTAATTGCTGCAGCATGGTTTGTGTTTGTTACAGTTTGTATGTACTTTGTTTCTGGAGTGAATTTCCTCCACTTAAAGACTGTTCTTGGGAGAGTTTTTCTCCAGTCAAAGGTAACCTGGACATTGGGGGCAAAGTTGGAGGTATTAAAGGGTCTCTCCTTATTTGACTGTGTTGTCTTTGTGCCACATCCCGGGTCATCACATATCTGACTACTGTTGCAATAGTTAAGCTTAGTGAAGTCTAAAAGGTACCAGGGATAATGTTGCATTGACTTAATGGAAGGGGTGTTTAAAACATTTATATAGCCACCACATTAAGTCTGGGAGATTCCCAATGAACAGCTAAAGCATCAGTAAATAAGGCATAATACATTAAATGAATTAAAACCATACACATTAAATGAACTGCTCAACTTTATCTGCAGCAAATTTAAGTATTGAAGCTCAAAAGGATAGGAACACTAAAGGCAACATTATATAGCAATAGCAGTAGCACTATATATAGCGCTTTACAGACCTCTCTAAGCAGTTTACAGTCAGCATATTGGCTCCAACAATTTGGGTCCTCATTTTACCTACCTTGGAAGGCTGAATCAACCTTGAGCCTGGTGAGATTTGAACTGTCAAATTTTAGGCAGCCGGCAGTCAGCAGAAGTAGCCTGCAGTCCTGCACTTCAACCACTGCGCCACCATGGTTCATAGCATAGTACAGTGGAGATTCTCATGCAGTATTTTCCAAATCACAATACTACCCTTATCTTACAGTTAAATAAATGCAGCTGAACTATTAAACATTTCTATCCTGTATACACATGCTTTCATTTCCTTCTTCCATTATCACACTATTTTATAATAGTCCCCAAATGATTTTGTCATACTTTTGTGTGAATAATATAGCAATAACATCAATAGTAAACAGGCCAGAAAGTTACAAAATACAAAAACATGTTTTTACATAAAGCCTTTAACAGTATTTCATAGTGAATCATGAATTGAAGCTGGACAATTATTATTTATGGATCTGTTCTAGTGTCCATGGAGACTGAATACACATTGTATTTAAACTTCACTGTAGTAATATTGTTTAATTTCACATCCTAAAAACAGCTACATTTGTTGGAGTGCTCACTACCTTCAATGACTCCAGTGGCAAAAATGAGATGAGCTACAAATAGGATCACCATCAATGATAAGATGAAATAGGGAGTAATCAAGCGAAGAGTAATTCAAAATGGAATGAGAACAGTTGGGCTTTAGAGGTGAAGGAACCCAATCCACTAGGAAAAGGAACTTTGAAATCAAACCTGAATGAAGACAATGACAAACTATTTCTGATATACTTAGATTGGAAGTCACTTGTCATAGAAGAGTAATAAACTGTTACAAGTAGATCTGAAATTAATGCATACAAAGAAATTTGTTCACATGTAGAGTTAGTATTGAAAGATGAGGCCTTGTTTTCTCATGGACATAAACAGTAACAATGGTGCACAGACTATGAGAACAATGAATCAAAACTTGAAATTATCAAAGCAGAAATGAAGATTATTATATTGGATATTATAGGAATTTTGTTTTTATTTTATTACTGTAAGAGTAAGATCCAGAAAAAACAAAATAGAAACAACAGGAACTTAATTTTAAATATATAATTTTGACCACAAAAGATAGTATTCACCTGTCTTTTCATAATTCAGATAGTGAACACAAAATGAACACATACTGGTGATCTAGGATTGTACTGTAACTATCTTTGCAACACTGAACATTTTTCACCATATTTGCCAAATCTATAATTCTTTACATAAGAATAAATACTCTTGCTGGCAGTATTTATAACATGTTGGTATCTTAATTTGGACCATTTTCAATTTTAGAGAAGTCTGTTTAGAACTGATAGTTCAAACACACAAAGAACCCTCACACAATATTTATAAATACTTGTTAGTGATAAATCAATTTAATTTATAAAATCAATGTACACATTTTTAAAGAATAGAACAAAAAATGGTGATCCCCACTTTGTCTAAAATGCAGGAACTGTCATGTCTGTATCAATAACTTCAGTAGATCTTAGACTATGGATTAGTTAACAAAAACAGTACAGTATTTTGGATTGATTGGACTCCTATTGCACTGATATATCAAAGGCATGAGTAAATCACTGTGGTGTTGTAGTTGCAATGAACTACATCACATTCATAAATTGTTAGGAAACTGGTTTGCAGTGTCCTAAAATCATATTCTGGGAAAAGTCATTGTGGACATTAATCTGATTTTGACAGGACTTAAGTATTTTTTAGATGTCCATATTCTGTTGAAATACATACCTAGTACATGGAAATTGATGACCGGACAATGAAAATGGATTCCTCTACCCTTCTTAAGAAATTCACTGTAAAAATAGTTTATGGTCCCAATTGCTCAGTCAATTAAAAAAATTAATGGATTAAAAATTTCCAATTTAAGAACAAACTGTAATGGAATATGATTGTATGCCATCAATTTGTCAACTCTTGGTGACCACATAAGGACATTTTCCTCCATGAGTCAATTTCTTTACATAGATTTTCTCCATGGAAATGGAATACAGGAAATCCTTGTTTAGCATTTACCTCTTACAACCACCATTCAGAGTTACAATGGTGATGGAAAAGTAACATTGTGACAATTCTCACATTTACCACCTTTGCAGGTTTGTAAAGCAAAGTAAAGCTAACATAAGATTGCAAGCACAATAATGGTTTACTTTAAAATCTGCTTCATTTAACAATCAAGTTGTTGCTCCCAGTTGTGATCATTAAAGGAGTACTGGTGTAGAATAAGGTAGCTTTAGCAATCCTGTATTAAATATGGTAATATTAAAACTTTACATACAACTTTATATAAATACATATGAGATGACCTTATAATTGTCTTGCTTTTTTTAACCTTTTACTATATTATTTCTTCTAATTTCTATTCAATTAAAAGCATTTTTTTTAAAAAAAATACATTCCAAGACTTTGTATATAATTAAAAAAGTACATTTATATCTTCAAATAATAATGATTTTTGAACATTAATAATTATGAAATTAGGGCAGCAGTTTACAAACTTATTAGCATTTTTCAATTTTATTGTACACATATTGTGCATTGACATTAAATGTTTGATTTGATTAAGCCAAGCCAAGCCATTTTCAAGATTCAAAAGGCCAGGAAATGTGACAAAGAATTTTGTTGAATTACTTTCATCTTAAATTCATATTAAATACACTTTTGATTTTGTTTTTATTGAGTACAAACAGAAAGAAAACTAACAATACAATTAAAAAGACAAATGTTTGCCTTCATTCCAGAGAAATCAAAAATAATAAAGCTGAAAATTGTAAAATTATTCCTCCCCTCTCTATATGATAACCATATTAATTCAATTGACTTTCGATTAAAACCGCCTTAATATTTTATACAGCCATTTGAAATAATTTAAAAGTACAGAACTTTAACTCAATATATCTACCTTGATTAATTGCCATTTTTACATTTATCTTTCCTAATAAAATCAGTGGGATTTTTTTTAGCCATCTGTGTCATTTGTAATCCGAGAGGGGAAAAATAAGTTTGATAAAGCTGAAAAACATTACTTTGGTAAAACAATTTTCAGAATATTTAAGAGAATTCCAGCAACCCACCAAAACTTCAATTATTTTATATTTCTATAGAAACAAATCTCTTATATATTATCAGTAAGTGCTGCTATAAAAACATATTAACAAGGTATATAGTAAGAGTTTGTACTGAATTCAAGTACTGTTATGCTGAAAATATTTAGTAAAAACAAATGTTTCCAAAATCAAATTAAAAATAAGAGCAAATGAAAAGTGCACTCTTATGTTCTAAAAGTCATCTTTATGGATGGAAAATACAGGTAGTCTCAACTTATAGCCATTTGTTTAGCGACCAAAGTTACAATGGTACTGAAAAGTGACTTTCTGGTTTTCACACTTATAACTGTTGCAGGATCCCTAGTCACATGATCAAAATTTGGATGCTTGGTAGCTAGCGTGTTGCACGGTCCTGGGGGTCATGTGATCACCATTTCTAAACTTCCCAGCTGGCTTCTGACAAGCAATTCAATGGGAAAAGCCAGAATCACTTAATGACAACATGATTCACTTAACTACAGTAATTGCTTAACAACCGTAGCAAAAAAAGGTCATAAAATAGGACAAAACTCACTTAGCAACTGCCTTGCTTAGCAACAAAGTTTGGGCTCAATTTTGGTCATGAGATGGGGATTACCTATATAATTTTTATGTGTAATAATCTTAGCAAAGGAATAAATGAACTATATACCGATCATTTTTTTAAAAGAAAATCCATATTGAGGCAATATGTTTTAAAAGTTTCCTTTATCATCCTACCAGAGATCTTTTCCAAATTTTGCAGAAACAGAATGACTTATTTAAATTTTTATGAAGATATAAATTACTGATGTTATTAATCTACTGAACTTCTGTGTTTCCAGAATGGATGACAAAGTTTTTGTAGACTTTATGTCAGGTTTTCTGTCAATGTTGCATTAAAATATGAGGAAAATAAATTTGATAAATCTAATCAATTATAGCTCTATGTGTATTACTAAAGGAGAAACATTATTTAAAAAGCCATCATGATTTTTCTCTAATATTAATGCAAAAATCTTGATATACAGGTGAAACTTGAAAAATTAGAATATTGTGCAAATGTTCATTTATTTCAGTAATGTAACTTAAAAGGTGAAACTAATATATCAGATAGACTCATTACATGCAAAGCAAGATAGTTCAAGCCGTGATTTGGCACAATTGTGATGATTATGGCTTACAGCTCATGAAAACCCCAAATCCACAATCTCAGAAAATTAGATTACATGCAATCAATAAAACAAGGATTGTACATAGAACAATATCGGACCTCTGAAAAGTATAAGCATGCATATGTACTCAGTACTTGGTTTGGGCCCCTTTTGCAGCAATTACTGCCTCAATGCGGTGTGGCATGGAAGCTATGAGGCTGTGGCACTGCTGAGGTGTTATAGAAGACCAGGATGCTTCAATAGTGGCCTTCAGCTCTTCTGCATTATTCGGTCTCATGTCTCTCATCTTTCTCTTGGCAATGCCCCATAGATTCTCTATGGGGTTCAGGTCAGGAGAGTTTGCTGGCCAATCAAGCACAGTAATCCCATGGTCATTGAACCAGGTTTTGGTGCTTTTGGCAGTGTGGGCAGGTGCCAAGTCCTGGAAAATGAAGTCAGCATCCCCATAAAGCTCGTCTGCGGAAGGAAGCATGAAATGCTCCAAAACTTTCTATTAATGTGCTTTGATACAGCACTTTGGGAACTTCCAACTTCTTTTGCAATTACCTTTTGTGGCTTTCCCTCCTTATGGAGGGGTTCAATGATGGTTTTCTGCACAACTGTGAGGTCAGCAGTCTTTCCCATGATTGTGATTCTGACTGAACCAGACTGAGAGACCATTTAAAGGCTCAGGAACCCTTTGCAGGTGTTATGGCTTAATTAGCTGATTAAAATGGGACACTTTGAGCCTAGAATATTGAACCTTTTCACAATATTCCAATTTTCTGAGATAGTGAATTTGGCGTTTTCATGAGCTGTAAGCCATCTCAATTATGCCAAATCACGGCTTGAACTATCTTGCTTTGCATGTAATGAGTGTATCTCATATACTAGTTTTAATTTTAAGTTGCATTACTGAAATAAATGAACTTTTGCTGATATTCTAAATTTTTGAGTTTCATCTGTATGTCTTTCACCATTCAATGAGAGTGCCTTCCAGATGGGAACTTTTACTTGTCACAGATTTAATGGTTATTACTTTTGGATACATAAAGGTGTAGCTAAACAGGCAGTTTGACTGTAATCTTTGGGATATATATATTCTGCAAAACATGATTCTCAGTGCTACATTTTATTATTATATCAATGTAACATAAAACGTTAATGTATTTAATCAGAATCATTTCAGTCAGTATTGAGTCAGTATTTCACATTGGCATGTTTTAATAGCAGAAACATTACATAGCTGTCATTGTTTCAGTCAAAAGTCTGCTATCCTACTAGGTGTTTCGCTTGCTTCCATTATCTTTGCTTTATATGGTCCAATTCTGTTTCAAGGCAAAAAAAGATAATTAAGTTCTTGTGTGGCACTCATAAAACATTATAATTCAGATGTAGGGCATCTTCCAGTCAATGTGCTTAAATATTATTAACTTCCCACCCTCATTTTCTTACTTAACTTGAACTTTCTTTTTCATAAAGTCTAAACAATACATCCATATTTGAATGCCTTATAAACATTCCAAACAATAAATCCAAAAGTCTATTTGCAATAAAAGAATCTTCAAACTCTTGTATCTATTTTTCAAAAAGCAAATCTTTTAATAAATATATATTAAGTGCCTAGGAAAAAAATGGAACAATTATTTCTTGTAGGAATTGAACTGGGGCAAAATTTTATATAGGGACATTACTTGTATTACATTTTTAATCCATTGAACTAAAATTGAGATACCAGAAGATAATGTAGTTAAGAAAACTGGTGTAGAATTGAAAAAAAAAGTTTTGAAATAGTTAAGTCACTAAATATCCACCAAATTAAAATCTGACATATGATTCTGTGATACTTTTATCAACTGGTACTATTGATTTAATTAAGGATCTGAAACTTAAGCCGACATTACATTTTAGGAATAAATGAACACAAGGGGACAAGAACTAACCACTTTATATCAAATGTATTATACTGTACTACTTGAAAAATGAGACCCTACAAAATAACACTTAAGTAGTGTTTTTATGCAAGTTAAATTTACTCAGAATTTGCTAAGCTTACCCAGAAGTCCATGGAAAGAGAACAGTCAGATAACAGTCATGTTTCAGAAAAGGCAGAGGAGGTAGGGTAAGATAGTTAGCCTAGCATAGTTAACACGAGAGAACAACTGAATGTAAGACCTATATTTTATTGAAAACAGTTATTGTATCTATTTCTAGTTGTTCCTGCCAAAATGTGAAATATATTAAGGTGAATGGGTGTGAAAAAATATATTATGGTTAATTTTGGAGAGACAATTTGGGTTTTTGGGAAACTTAGTTGTTCAAGAATAGCGATGGATATGAAAGGAAGATGCATATTATCAATTTATCTCATTTCTAACAATGGCCACATTAGAAGACGACAGTGGAAATAAAAAGTGGAGGCAAAACAGTAATATTTTGAGATATGCAGACAATGCCACTATATTAGCTGGTATTATGTTTAGATTTAATTGTTAAGAGTAAAAAATGGAAAATTTATCCTAATATTAAATACTAATGCCAACCAATATTCTCAAGTGAACTCATAGTTTATGGCAAAGAAAATAATAGATAATGAAAGATAAGCATTTATTTGGCAATAAATAAGAATAATTGAAAAGCTTTTCAGTAGTTATGTGCATCAGTTTAAGGTACACATTGAGAAAGTATGACCTCAAACTGTGGATGTGGGGTTCTAAGAATACAACAACATATTCAAGAACTAATCAATTGACCCTAGACCAAAAAAGGATAAGAACTTCCTTGAGCAAACAAAAATATATTTTGGTCATATGACAGAAGTGAATGATGGGTTAGGAAAACTAAACTTGTTGCGGTTGAAAAAGTTGAAAAGCTGAAAAAGGGAATAGATAAAGTATATTGTATCGATAAGACCAAATAATATATTCTTAAGTGTATTATCACAAGAGATAGTTTTATTATTGGAGACAGGATAAGATAATGTACCATTTGTGCATTCTCTAGAAACCAGAACTGATTGGTACATATGCATGAAACATTTTTTTAAAGATTTTATATCTTAATTCTCAAGCTTTCATTTCTGCTTTAAAAATGGTGCTTCTGAGGTATTATCTCCTGTTTAAAAAAAAAAGGAAGCTTGTATACTAAATGACTGAATAGCAAAAGCGAACATTAGATATATAAATACATGAATCCAGCATACCACACAATGGAAATGTTCAGCAAAATGTATTGTTTAGAAACAAAACTACACATATTTGTGAAATACATATCTTAAAATGAATGATAAAATGCCATCTGTACCTAAGACACATATACAACATCAAAATCAAACAGAAATAAAACGCTGTTTAGGGCCATTTCTTTTTCTATGCATCTTACTGCTTTAAAATGGCATACAGCTTTCATGTTTACTTTTATACCCAAGATTTAGATGCAGGTTGAAAAATTCACTTTGGTACCATTATTGTTCACTACTTGCTTAATATTTCTAAGTAATTGTGATACACAGACCATTATTTCCATTAGTTCATTCAGTTTCAGGAAAATTCAAGCTAGAACAAAACACTAGGTTATAATTATTTCAGGATACATGTAATCACATCTGTATATGAAAATATATTGGCTGAACATTTTAATTTGTGAACTTCTGTATGCCAGTGTCTGGGTTTTATATAGTTTATAACACCACAATAAAACAACTCTAAAATATTCACAAACCCAAATCATTAAAATCAATAAAATTATTAAACAATTATGTCAGGCAAATCTGAATCCCCTTCGGAGGGCTGTTTTCATCACAAAACGTGTGCACCAAACAGACATAAAATGAAATTGTACTGTAAGTGTCAGATTAATATATAAGGGAGAATAGGGTGAAACTATTAGTTATTTATAAAATGTGGTAGAACTGAATGTCCAAAGTAAGAATTGTAATAATTCCAAAGGCTGCTAAAATCTACAGGCCTAAATATCAATTCCATTTTATCGAGATTTAAATCTAATCCAACATTAGTTACCAAAGGAAAGTAATCAAGATGACGATAAATTGCTGAATTTCATTTAGCTTAAATTACATGTTATATTGGCATTGAAATGCACAATAGTCGATTGTACTTCCATAGGATTACAAATCAAAACACAAAGGATGAAAGTTAGGCCAACATCTAGAAAAACTTTTATCACTAGTTTCCATGTCATGTAGAATGGACCTTCACAACCAGCTACATAATTCCAAACATTATTTGGAATGGGTAGATTTTCTTCCATGTGAGAATATAAGGAATACCAAACTAAATTGATTAGTAGTAGTAGTTTTTAAATAAATGGAAGAACTTTACACAAAAACTTTACTGTCTTCCCTTAACTGCTGCTCTCTGCATGTACAGGACATCAATTTCCATAATTCTGAACCAATATTCTGGTTGCAGAATATGAACAGTGCAATCTCATTACACGGCATTATCTGATTGCAGTAGAAAATCAATAGGAAAAACAACATACAAGTATACAATCCTTCAGATTTAAGCCAGTTTCTATTTAAATTTTCTAGAACATATCTATAGCTACAACTATTATGTGGAAATTAATTATTTTAGCATTGTAATGTGCCATGCCATGGCAAAATGTTAGGCGACTCTGGAATGGAAGGTTATAGTAAATAGGATTTATTCTGTCATTTAGTTTTTTATAACATAAAATTGGAATCCTTCTTTGTCAGAGGAAGTTCTTAACTGTGTATGCAACTGTTATATGTTGATAAAATAGAAATGTTTCAGAATTCCATTTGTTTGGCAAGATGAAAACACCAGTTGAAGTAAAAAGAAAAAATGTAAGTATTTAAAATGTACTTTTGAATATCTTTTCAACCACAAAGTCATTCTTTTACAAAAATGACTTTGGATTCCTAATGATAGCCCTGAGACTGAATCTGCTCAGACTGAAGGATATACTCAGTATCAAATCTCTTGTTCATTTTATTAAAGTGACACAATACCTACAACTGGATCATCATTTTTATGTTGAATTCTAAAGTGGTTAGATTCTGTGTTGAAAATTAAACAACCAATTATAAGTGATTGTGCCAATTCCCCTTCTGTATTTCTGATTCCCTATTTTATGCTATAAAAACATAGAAATCCTTCATGTTAATTCAAAAGAACAAAGTGGATTCAAATACAATGAAATGGAAAGCTATCAGATTCTTGCTTCATCTTGCTTCAGATTCTTGCTTCATCTTGGGAGTAGTTTACATTGCTGCTGTATCAATATATGCAATCAGTTTAGATTTTTATCTAATATTGAGTCTATTCTCTGTTATTGATTTTTGCAAGTATTAATTTGTCCTGAATATTAATTTGGTTTGAATCCATACATTTAGCTAAAATTAATTCAAATAATAATTCAAATTGAAATCCTAATGAGGTACATATCACAGAGTAAAAAGTCAGATACAGAACAGGCTACATATTCAAAATAAAATTATGTATTTCAAGTAAAATATTTTCAGAGATTTCAGTTCCCATCCAGAGACAGATAAACAGCATATTTATTTATTTGTTACATCAAGCAAAATGAAAATAAGCCTTACAACCAGGAAAAGCATGTGGGGTCAGTAACTGAAAAGCAGTAATGACTACTTTAATAAATAATGAAATTATGTTGCTTTCATAGTAGTAAAATTATAGAACAAATATCCTTGGTATTAGATTACACTTACTATTAAGACTCAATGTACTGCAGTCAACAGGATTGAAAAAGTTAATTTGTTAGTAAATTAAGTTTCTCCTTGAGGTATGACCTGTAGAATTTACTCTAAGAGTTTGGACATTCAAATAATGATGATTACCATTAAAAGAAAAGAAAATATTTCCAAATAGCAAGTTTAAAAAATAACTATAATGAATCATACACAGCTGATAGTTTGAATAATTACATCTTATTCTTCAATATGTGTTGCAGTTACATCATTCTCCCAGTTACATAAATACTACCTTTCCAAACCATATTTCTTATCCACTTACAAAATAAGAGACTGAAAATAATTACTTATCAACATAAATAGTTCTCTAAATAGGATAAAGGACAACTAGAAAATGAATGGTTGATATTTGGATACAATATGCAAAACCTTATGGATGGATATAGTGTCCAATGAAAGGACCATTAACCATTATCGAATCCTTGTATATTTTACTTGAAATCTGAATAATAAAATCTAGCTGTAACATTACAAATGTCTCAAATTGCTTCCCCAGAAGACAAGCTATAATGTTCACAAATATGACTGTCATATTCTTGAGGTGCTTAAATACTGTATACTAAATTTAAGATGCATTCTCTTCTTCCTGTTAGCTCAGCTCCCAGGCAAGTTAATGTCTGGTTTAGCAGCAGATATATTCCAAGTTTTCTTATGAGGAATATACATCTCAGAAAAAAATTACAAGTAGATCATTCTGAACAATAGAAAATTATTCTGTCATGATTGAGAAAATATATTATCACAGAGGATCATGTTTCTTCTTACCTGTCCTATATTTTCAGTAAGGTACTAATCCCTACTCTATTGAGCTGTACTGGCAAAAAGAAAGAATACATCCCAAATCATCAGAAAGCAAAATTAAAATTAGACACTGATAATAAACACAAAAAGAAAAATAGACATTTTCAATTATTGGTTAAGAAAATCAAATTGTCAAAGGTAGGCATATCGGAGAACATACTTTTATTAATATTTTCTTTTAGAGTGGAAAAAGTTTCTAATTGATTTATTTCTCTTACTCTTGTGAACGAGAATTGGACTGTGCAATGCTTCAGATCAGATCAGGAGTTTTAGAACATGCAGGAATGCAAAGAAAATCTGTCTACAACTTTTTTTTTCTTGGACTGCATGGCAGCTTTAAAATGTTACCGCTAGATGTTGTATTCATACTTCCATGTATTCCAGAGCATCTCTTCTGCATAAAGCAGAAACAGTCCATAGTCTTTGTTCTTTAACAACTAGTGAAGCCACCAAAACCTAATATTTATAAAGATGCTGGATTCTATAAAAACGATTGCCGCATATTTATTTTATCAAAAGGGGTAATTTATTTTAACTCAAATGAATTTCAAAACAGTGTATGGTAACTATTCATAACTTTCCAAATACCAATAGCCTTCATGCTATAAAGATATTTAGGTCAGAAAAATAAACAGCTCCACTCACAGTTCACCAAGCTACTGTTTCTAGACAAAAACAAAAAGAACTAAGGATCTGATGTATTTTGATTTAATCCATTTTGCCTGAGATAACAAAAGTATTTCAAGCAAGTTCCATCATAGGTCCTGCATTAAACAATCCTCTATTAAATTCTGAACATATTCAGTGAGTTCTGAATTTTTAAAATTTTTACAATTGTTTCAAAACCATTAAGTAGTAAATGTTTAAGAAACTAATTAGGACAGAGGCCATAACTTCATTAGAACACCATTGCTCATGTTTTTTTTTTCTTTTTCTTTTTACAAAGCATTAGTGTTACCTGTTGGCTATTAGTAGTAGCAATTTTATCTACAATATTTAACAAGATAGGTTGCAGGCAAAATTTTTAGTACAGTTTCAATAGAAACACCCTTTCCTGAAAATACAGCAGTATTTGATGGACTAATTTTTTCTACATCATTTATAAGGAAACTTCCCATCTCTGAACAGGAACAAAAAAATTATCTACAAACCTTGTAAACAGATCTGCATTATTTATAAACATAAATAATTCAAATTATCAACAGCTGAGAGCAGAAATGAAAATTATAAATTTGGTGACCCTGGGCTCTCCTGCCCAATCCAGCCCTCTCATCAAAGGAATTAAGAACATAAGTTCTGGTAAGACATTCTTACGGGCCATTCTTAAGTACAGCTAATGATCCACAGGACACATAAGCAAGTTACTGTTTATCTGTCAGAGTTCATTATTACTCCCACTTTCCCCTCCCCCAGAAAAGCACCCTGAAGTCTGGCAGAAAGCTTCTTTTTAAAAAAATAAATCTACATTCGTACAATTTTATCTTCTTGTTGAAGTCCAAGACAAGAATACCATCTTGTCCATCATAGTGAGGGAGAAAGCCCAGTTTCAGTGTGTTTCTTTAAATGCAGCTAGTGTGTTAACATTCAGCATACAATCAGAGTGATGTTTCCAAACTATGCAGTGGGCTCCCTGGGGATGAAGAGGTAGCAGACTTACTCAAGTCTGTCATAAGATGAATTCCACTGTTAACCGCATTGTTATTTTTGTTGGGTGATGGTGGAAGAGGAGTTGAGTTACGTTTTGTTGGAGCATCATCTTCAGCATCAGTATCATCAATAAGTGGAATATGAGTTTCAGAATCTTCTATTCTAAACTCAGGATGAGTCATAAAATTGTGGATTGAACTTCGGGACTCAGGTTTTTCCAATCCTTCATATAAGGAACTACGAAATGCATTCACCACTCGGATCTGCAAGTATGAAAAGCACAAGTGTTACTGTTTAATAATATTGTCCACAGGAGAATGTTGTTTTATGAGACTGAATCCACAAATAGGTAAGATAAGTGAACTGAATTAATGCAGTGGAACTTGCAATAAACTGTAAATAAATAAATAAAAATGAAGAGCATTTCAGAAGAGCACTGTCAGGCTATAGCAGAAATAAATATCAAAAAATTGGTTCAAAATGTCAAGCTACAAGAATTGAAGCTATTTACTTTTATAACTAATATGAAATTTTAAGCCAATTGATAAATTCTACTCCATTTTGAAGACTTCTAGAACGACTACTACTCCAATTCTACTCCATTTTATTAGACTTCTAGAATGACTGGCAAGACTTTAAGAATGTTTAATATATTTTTTTTAACAAATACTGGGAACTGTGGTTCAAGCTATGAAAATTTCAATATAATACAAGCTTGTTCAAGCTTGCTGGATTTAATCTAAATATTTGAGTATATGTCACATAAAATACTTTCACAGAAATGTGTGTCATAATTTGTAGGATTAAGAAATGCATGATAAAAATGGCCCATATGAAATAATCTGTTCTCCCTCACATTACTGCAAATATGTATATATTCTCAAATGACAAAAATATGAGCTGAGTCATGATTCACAAACATAAATACTTTGGGATATATTTTTAGTTTTTTGCTTCAAATATCCCAGTTGCCATTTTTATATTCAGTAAGTTCTAGATCAGGGGTGTCCAACCTTTCACCTTCCCTGGGCCACATTAGAAGATGAAAATTTGGTTTGGGCCGCACATAAAATAAAATAACAGTAACGATACCCGATCATCCCAAAAAACCATAGAAAACATAGTTAACGTTAAATTTATTTAGAAATAAAGTTAGTGAGATGTTTTTATTATTTATTATTAATTATTTATTAAAAATTATTTATTTTTTATCACGGTTTTTTAATCACAGTTTTTTTATCACAGTTTATTTTCCGGCCAAATTTTGCGGGGGGGGGGGGGGGGGGGGGAGAAAGCTCGCCTGCCTCACGCCTACCTCTCCTCCTGCAAATAGCCCGGCTGGATGAGGCAGGACTGGAAGGCAGAAGCAGCAGCAGCAGCGGCGGGGGCAGAAGCCTTCCCCCGCCGCTGCTTCTGCCCCCGCCCCCGCCCCCGCTTCTGCCCCCGTCACCGCTGCTGCTTCTGCCCCCGCCGCCGCTTCTTCCCCCGCCACTGCTGCTGCTTCTGCCGCCGCTGCTTCTGCCCCTGCCGCGGGGGCAGCGGCGGCGGGGGCAGAAGCAGCAGCTGTGGCGGGGGCAGAAGCGGCGGCGGCGGGGGCAGCAGCGGTGGGGTGGCGGTGGGAGAAGAAGCGGTGGCGGCAGGGGCAGAAGCGGCGAGGGTGGCGGCGGGAGAAGAAGCTGCGGCGGGGACAGCAGCAGCGGTGGGGGCAGAAGCAGCAGCAGTGGCAGGGCAGAAGCGGCGGGGGTGGCGGCGGGGCAGAAGCGGCGGCGGCGGGGGCAGCAGCGGCGGCGGGGGCAGAAGCAGCAGCAGTGGCAGGGGCAGAAACGGCGGCAGTGCCGGCGGCGGCAACAGCAGGAGGTGGCGCTCTGACGGCGCCCGCCTTTTCTCTTGCTGCTTGGCCTGGCGCTCGCCTCGCCCCGCCTAGCGCCTGCCTCTCCTCCTCCTTCTCGCTGGCTATGGCACAATGGTTGGGGTGGGCACTGGGCCGCATTACGAGGCGACCTGGGCCGTATGCGGCCCGTGGGCCGCGGGTTGGACAAGCCTGTTCTAGATCATCACTAGAAAATAAATGCACCTCATCAAATTATTAATGGTGTGTACATGCCTAGCTAAACATTTTATCTATTGGGTTCTTGGTGTTTTACTGAGCTTGTTTCTGTTCCTATAGACATTTCATTACTAAGGTAAGTAACTGATGATGTCATCTAGTTTGGTAATGAAACAAAAAAGTACAACTGTGTTCTGAAATAGGTATTTGCTCAATTAAGACTTCCCATATCCTTCAGATGCCAATACAGCTAATGCTGAAGCTGCTGTAGATATAAACAACTCTAGTTCTTTTTCCAACCCCACTCTATAGCTTTTCCCTGTTCAAAAAGCTTCAACATTTTTTACCCCAAACTGTGGTTGTAGTGAGGTAATTGAAGTAAATTGTAAGGCATTTCAAACTATTACTTTCAATAAACGAACAGTAAGAAAGATACTATTTACAAATATTTATGGAAAGGTCCTATAAAAAGAGACCATTTCCATTAATATTCAGATTGGAATACATAAGGTAAAGAAGCTAACAACACAATTAATAACAGAGAAAACAAAACTATGAATAAAAGGGCGAAAAGGCCTTCATCCGTAATAAGCAATTCTGAGTAGTCTTAATGTTTACAATTTTAATAGTATGAAACCCAACAGAAGTCTGCCACAGTCTTTCGGAATAAGGCTGATAAGCACCCACCTTTATCTCCCTTGAAATGAGGCCAATGACTAAATTGCCAATTAGCTATACAAGGCCAAATGGAGCACAAAGTCAACACGGAGCTTCAGATTTTAAACTGACCAGAACAAAGTTGCTTCCTGCAAAGGCTCATGTCCCTTTCCTCCTCCTTTTTGTCTTATGGGAGGGGCCAATCATCTCCAAGCCTTACTCCTGAGTCGCCCCTTTTGTCTTAACTGTTCTGGCCTCTGGCAGCTCTGCGCAAGCGCGCACTGAGGGCAGGATCCCCGTTCCTCTGCCTCGCTGGTCTCAGATTCTGAAGGCTCTCACATAACTCTTAGATGGCCCATGTCCCATCTCTGTGTTGGATACAGATCCCTCATCCGAGCCCTCCCCAGACTCCAGGACTGGCCCAGGTTCCTCTCCCCTGTCCCGACTCTGTTGACAGCTCTGCAGGCCACCAACGGACCACAACATTGATATTATATCCACTATATTTTGTGCATGTCTACTATTTCAAATGGGAATTTAAATTAGGATCCAAAGAGATTAAAATCTCTTTTGGGAAGTAATGCCTATCAAAAGCCCTTTTTAGAAGCCGGATGGAACAGATCAAATATTTCTTATATCTGTCTCTATAGTTCTTTTTCATTTGTGCCATGAACATAAACTCTTTATAAAATGTCATATTTTTGTATTTTTCCATAGCTAAAAATCATAATTCCACTTAGACATTACATGAAATGGTCACCATGTAGCATTCTGAATAACATGTCTGTCAGCGAAGACTTTCTTACCTGTAAACCAGAGGTGGTATTCAGCAGGTTCTGACCAGTTCTGGAGAATTGGTAGCGGAAATTTTGAGTAGTTTGGAGAACCAGCAAATACCACCTCTGACTGGAGATTTTACAGCATCCTTCCCCTGCCATGCCCACCAGGCCACACCCACAGAACCAGTAGTAAAAAAAAAAAAAGAATCCCACCACTGCTGTAAACATCACCACTGACTATGAGGATGTCTCCAAGAGGCTAATGTCATTTCAATGACATTGCTGGGAGAGTTGAACAAAGCTTTTATTATCACGCATAACATTTTTTTTACATAAAGGCCATTTTAATCCTAATATTTATAGCATAAAATACAATTTATGTATTTTCACTTTAAATACTGTTAACTCTGGAAGGAGCTTAGTACATAAAATAAAAATCTTTATAAAAATATATGTGTTAATTTTGCTGCTGCAAATTAAAGCCCTTTCCCTCATGATCTACAAATTATTCTGAAGTTATAGAAGTAAACATGAAGATAATATATTTGTCTTGGACCAGTTTTAAGCATTTCACTAAACAAGTTTGTAGATCTTTTTGTTTATAGATTTCAAGACATATACTCAAATATTTGTAGCTATTACTATAAATATTTTTCAAAGATGTCTCTTCTGTGCAAGTATGAAGGTACTATGTGCATGCTCAAGGTTTTTACTGTATAGTATTGTTTCAATTGTTCCACTTGAACTATGATCCTCTAAAAGGTGGAGGGGGGGGGTTAGGACTCCCATTTTGAAGGTAAAAATGTGAAAAAATGTTAATAATGAATTTAACGACTGAAGGAAAGAATGAAACGTTAGATGTGTGAATTAGGAAATGTTAATTTCATGCACTTATGAACACACACTCACACCCCACAGTAGTAGAAGCAGAAGTAGTAGTAGTGGTAGAGGAAAACACTACATGTGTAGGGGTAGAAATATTTGTTACATCATGATGCTGGCTGGCGATGGAAGGTTGCCGCCTTAGAGCCCCCTGAATGGAAGTTCCACTCTGGAAAGCATTCACTACATCCATCTGCAAGGAATCAGAGATTGTGACAGCTTGCTCAGCAAGAGAGAGAGAGAACAAGAGAAAGGAGCATCCCATCTACAACACATAAAAAGCAAAGAAAAGAGGCACTTTTATAGAGCAGGTAAAGAAGCGAGAAGCACATTTGGTGATGAAGAAGGAATTTGAAGGTTTAAACAGCTAATACTTTTCCCATATAAAAAATTCAGTCATACATTTTATGACTACAATCCAAACCAATACTAAGAACATTGACGAATTTCAAATCCTCAACCCTATTTCCTACCTTTACAAGACCATACCTGAGTTTGTATCCTGTTTAGACCCCTAAACCATAAGATCTGACCACGCCTTAGCTCTCTTTCAGCATGATCAATTTCTTCCACATCTTCTGCTAACTCTTCCTCAGGAATCTCTTCCTTTTGTGTTCCATGGCCAGCTTCTTTAAGGAATTTCAAATGACTGGTTGGAATAGTTGATATCAACTATAACAATGGGAAACAAAAAATATTTAACATTTTATGAAAACTGTTCCTTTTCAAATTCCCTTTTAGAATTAGTGACAGACTCCCCCACCCTTCCTTAAATGGCTTCAAATAAGAAACCACTAGATTTTCGCTGTTTTCTTTGGAGAGGGATTAAACAAATCGTAGCTAGTCAATATTGCAGCATAATACTTCTATGCATTTGGATACATAACGAAAAGATTGTATTACTTGTTTTCTTTTCTATATTGTTCTGAAATTTAAAAATTTTAAAAAAGCAATAGTAGAGCAGCATGGCGAAAATTAATGACAATGAAAAAACCCGAATACTGAGTAAAATGCATTCTAAAACACAAGCTTTGGTAATTTGAGGAACTGAACTACAAAAGTAGTATTACATACCTGGCCCCAAAGAAGTGTTCCCATTCCTAGAAAAATTGACCACAGCCAGTGTTCTACTGTAAGCTCAGAGCAACTGAAAGGCTTCCCACCAAACTGCACAATAACTATCTGTTAAGAAAAATAATTGTATTTGATATTTGATAATTGTATTATCAAATAATTGATAATTGTATTATCTATTTGAAATGATAAAACAATGAAAATATTGGCTTTTATGATACAATTTCAGTAACTATTTTAAAAGATTGTAATTCTAGCCATTACATGAACCAATTCATAAGTTGACAGTGGACATATGTCTTTGGAATGGCTTCCAATTTTGCTTCCCATTGTAAATCCACAAATCCAAGGTTATCTTCTATGGTTTCCAACTTTCGCTGTGTAATTCCAAATAATATTGACTTTATAAAAACTTATTATTCTCAAATCATATTAATAAATGTATGGACATTAGGCCAAAATGAGACAAGCTGATGTATACATCTGTGTTCCTTCCATTATTTTACACTTCTAGCATACAAAACTGATGGTCAACTTCTAGACATTCTCTGCTTTCCCTTCAAAATATATAAACTTTTTAGTTTTTACTGAAGAAGAATATATTGCCCTACACCAGAACTTCCAGGGTTATTTATCACTGGGGCCAAAAGTTTCACAACTGGGCTTCATCACTGAGATGGCTCTCAGAACACTCTCTTTTCCTTGAAGAAAGACCTGAAGGAAATCTTGCAAAAATAATTATAATGCATAGCTATGTTATAAATAAACCCTATGTTGTGTTTAAAGATAAGTTATTAATATTTTTATTTTTATACCAAATTATAGCAATAATCTTATATACTGCTTCATAGTGCTTTATGGCACTCTCTAAGAGGTTTATAAAGTCAGCATATTGTTCCCAACAATCTGGGTCTTCACTGTACCAACCTTGGAAGGATGGAAGACTGAATCAACCTTGAGCCAATCAGGTTTGAGCTCCTGGCAGTGGCAGAGTTAGCCTGCAATACTACATTCAAACCATTGCACCATGACGGTTCTTATTATGTGAACACATTCTAATTATCAAGCTTAAAACCTGAGCGTAATATGAACGTATTATACATCTTTAACAGTAATATTAAAATTAACAATAACACAAACATATATCTGTAAGCATATGACCAATGATAAAATGTTTGCACAGATCAAATTATCCTCTAACGTGATACACACAGATGTTTTATATTTAAATAAATTCTGAATCTGTCAAGCGTGCCCTACCCTAATACTGATTATACATACAGCAACCATTGGCCTCTAAAAGCTCTAACCCTCCAAATTCTGCATGACTTTATTTTAAAAAAATCTACTCACTTGTACAATAAATGTTCCAAGAACTATAGTACAGAATATAGCATTATTGAAAATTCCTTCAAATACATTCCTTTCACCGTGAATTTTTCGGGCATTTATTTCATTAAATAGCTGCATCATCACAAATGTATTAAACACAATTGTGTAGTGCTCTGAAGGAGGAGCATGAAGAGGTGCATTTCTTCCACTATCAATATCAAATATTTTTTCACCTGTAAACAAGGGATAAATATTCTCAAAATGCCACTCAAATTCATGCTTTTTTTGTAAACATTGCTTTAGTCTTTTTTTTTTTAACATGCCTTTCTCCTTTAACATTCTATTTAACATGCCAATGTCCTTTAACATTCCTTTAAATATTGAAGAAATGTTCACAATAAAGCAAGCAGAGTTTAGGAAGTATACCACAGAGATTTAAATTGTAATATTCTTACCAGCAAACAACAGTGTGAAGACAACCACAAGCTGATAGAAAGCATGACCCAGAATATTCTTCATCATGGTCCGTGAGATGAGAGGTTTGTTTCTACCATAAGGTTTTCTCAGCAAAAGTGATTCTGTGGGGGGTTCTGTTGCCAAAGCAAGTGAAGCTAGGGTATCCATTATGAGATTTACCCATAACATCTGAACAGCTTTAAGTGGAGAGTCCTGTAAAATCAACATGTTTTCTAAAATAATCACAAATATCCTAAGAAATAAAATTATCTAACATTTAACATTTCCAGTCAGGTTTTACTATTATACTTTAAACTGTGATGCAGTGATTAAGAAGTTAAGCTAAGACTAGAAAAATCTACCCAGTTTCTAGTTCCATATTGGCCATGGAAACTCATTGCATTTCTTTGGGCTGTTACTCTTTTTTCAATCCAGCTCCCTTACAGGAAGATTGTTATGGGATAAACAGATTTGAAAGCTTGATGAACTCTTGGAGAAAGGGTGAGACATAAATTTATCAAATAAGAAATCACTCTCAATTCAATCGGTTTGAATCCCATTACATGCAAATAAATACATAATACTTACTTGTGTAATACATGCTCCTGTGAAAGCAACAATTACAGCTACTACATTAACAGTAAGCTGGAACTGAAGGAATTTGGAGATACTGTCATACACATTTCGCCCCCACATAACTGCTTTAACAATGCTTGAGAAATTGTCATCTGTAAGAATAATATCAGAGGCTTCTTTAGCTACATCAGTTCCAGCAATGCCCTGAAAGAGAAAAACAAAAACAAAATTACAATATGATCCTTGAATATTATGACAGCTCACATATATACTACTCACGTTTATATAGCCCTCCCATCTGTTATTTGTCAAAAAAATAAGGAAGAATAAAGAGGTCCTGCAATCTGCCAAATGTAGAGAAGACTTTCTTTATGGCCTGCCATTTGTCCTGAGGAACATAGAAGGGACAGATTTCTTCATATTTGTTCTTCCAATCCATTCATTTGTTACCATACAATTCCTTGTGAATTATAAATTACCATGGAAGTAATTACAAGGTGTAATTAAACAATTCTTGAAAACTCTGGATTAGAGCTAATAATTTTGTTTCTTTAACTTTCAATACACTTTTAAAATGTTGAATAGTGGAAAAACTACCCATTAGCATGAAATTTAAGAAACTAAGAATTATTTTGTCATACTCACTTATTTAAAGTAGATATTATAATATCAATATTTATGCAAAAAAAACAACTGCAGTAGAAACTATTATGAAAAATTGTATTGATGATTCTGTCATATAAACTGAATTCAGTGGTGCTTAGCTAAAGACCCATGCAGTTTCTGAAAATATTGAATTTCTTTTGACAGATAATTCTCAACTTACAACTACAACTGAGTCCAAACTTTCCACTGCTAAGCAAGGCAGTTGTTAAGTGAGCTGTGCCTCATTTTAAGACCTTTTTTTTTTAAGTGAATCACTGCAGTTAAGTGAATTATGTGGTCTTTAGGTGAATCTGGCTTCCCCCATTGACTCTGCTTGTTAGAAGCCTGCTGGGAAGGTTACAAATGATTATCACATGACTCTGGGACAGTGCAATTGTCGTAAATACATGCCACTTGCAAAACAATCAAATTGGTTGTTAAGTCGAGGACTACCTGTATTGGAAAGGAGTTAAAAATGATGTGCCATTTTTCAGCTATAATAATTTTATAATAGTAATGGGAATTACACAAAGATTTATCTGCCTTCATTAATATTTTGCACATTTCTTGCTCAATTGAAAAAAGTAAAAATGGCCATTATGTTAAGTAGCTTTGAGTTTTAATTCCAGATAACCTTCAAAGCCAGTAGATGGCACAGGAGAATAGCTTCTGAGCATTTAATTTAGACTAATTAAATTCCTCATAGTCTAGGTCAAGGAGGCAGTGTGCAGTATATTTTGGATTTGTGTGGTTCCTTAAAACTTTGACAAATCATTTGAGAAACAGATGATAGTTAACTATTCAGAATAGCACACTTGTTACGGATATCATACACAATAATACAAGCTTGCCTGTTTTCCCCAGTGCCTCAATTAAATGAAAATACGTTATATAAAATTTGCATGACAATGGTATGGGAAGTATCTGCAACTTAAATCCTCACTCTCTGATTTCTACTCCTTAGAAAAAACATAAATGTTACAGATTCCACGTTATAAAAAGGTGTTGAGCATCATTTGATTGTTCAGTATCCTGTTAAATAATATAACTGACAATAAATTCTAATAAAAGATCACATTTATCTTAGATGCATGTTACAGCAAAAAGCAAAGGAAAATAGAAGAATACTGATCTTAGAATTATGTACGCAATGAATGTACGGTTAACATGAAACACAATGCAGCCCTACATCAACTTTAAAATGGTTATCCTTGTAAAAGTATTTCCAGTTTCAAGTTTTCTTTAAGTTGATTATGTGATTCCTTCCTAGTCATTTACTATCATTCTAGAAATACTCCAAGAATTGTACCTATTTTAACTATTAATATCTTATCAGAATACATCTATCATCTAACATTTTTGTAAACTCTTCACATTAATAATTACGTATAATTTTAGATTTAGTCTCAAGAAAAATTGAACACATATTTTATCATTTTTAGCCTCTCTTTGAACAGACACAGTTAAGTTGTGGAACTCAACTGCTGTTTAAGTTTATATATAAGGATTGTGATTTTCTATATCGACATCAAATTTGGACTTCATCATTAATTGTGCAATTATCCCAAGGTAATCTTAGCAAAGAAGTATAATGGACACAGGAAGATACAATCAATTCTGTTTTGCCCACTGCTATATGCAAGCTAATTTTGTTCAGTCTTCAATATAACGTTAAGATCGTAATTCAAACACTTCAGTTTATAAAAGCACTTATTAGTAACAATTATAATACTTGTTAACCTCCTTACCATAGCAAAGCCAACGTCTGCTTTTTTTAATGCTGGGCCATCATTGGTTCCATCACCAGTCACAGCTACAACCTGCCTTTGTTCTGACACTGTGCTATCAATTATTCCTAAAAACAACAAGTATTTGTTACAACAGTACATATTTATACTATTGAACATTATAAATTTCAGTAATTTGTTCATTCATTTACTGAAATTGAGTAATTTTCTGTCTAAATCCAATAATTATATTGCATAGTAAGATATAGTCTTCTATTTCTCAAGAGCATTTCCAGCTCTTGATCAAAAAGCTGTTTGAAAAATCTGTTAGAAAATGTATTTACCTTTCACCAGTGTATGTTTGTCAGTGGGAGAAGACCTTGCAAGTACTCGAAGTTTTGGCCAAATTTTGTCTATTCGCTCCTGTTCTATCTGTAAAGATAGCTTAGATTAATTTCATAACTAAGTTTTCATAAGTAAAAAAAAGAATATTAACCATACCCACCTCTCCTTTTTCATTACGTATTCGTCTGTTGAATTCCTTGCCTTCCAGGCATAAGAAGTCTTCGCCAGGATGCAAAATACCACATTTTAATGCAATAGCACGAGCAGTGTTAATATTGTCACCAGTAACCATACGGACAGTTATACCAGCACGCTGGCATTTTTTAATTGCATCTGGTACCTAAGAAGAGGGAAAAGCTAATTATGCGGTTATTTTTCAGCAATGATTAATTTAAAAAGAGTTAACCTGCTTTTGGCTAAAATACTAAGGTTTAATTTCATGTATGTGTCAATAACTTTATGTTATTTAAGTTACAATGCTGATATATTTTACGTATATTTGATCATGTGCCATGAACTTGTTTTCAGCTCCTAGCAACCATGTAGGTTTCATCTATGATGATTTATCCCTAACTTCTTTTTCAAGTCCTAAAGATACAGATTAACTGTGATGCATGATTATAAGGTTGCTAAGGTCACAGTTAGGCAATTGGAATCCACCCAATGTTTGGAAATTAAGCTCCCATCAATCCCTAAACCCCAAAGTAAGTAAACTGGAAACTGCAACTTAAAATCTTAGAAGGGCACTAATACAACTCTTGGTACATCTGAGACAGTCAGCTCATTGAATATGTTACTCAGTATAAGTTTTTATGCTTATCCTAAGCTGACTTACTAAGAGGTTCAGGAAAACAAAAAGACTGGAACATGTTACTATTTAATTGATGCACAAAAGATTTGTGGCAAAACCTAGTTCTTAGGCAACAGTTATAAAAAGTAAAACTATACCAATCACATCATATAACACAAAACATATTATAACATCTGCATTTTGAAGAGATGGTTTCAGAATTATTGTAATGAGTAAGAACCTATTTCTGTGACATTTAAGCAATTTTAAATTAAATATATACGCCCATTACAGTGAATATTATTCAATCACTACCCTTAAATAAAGAACAAAGGAAATGTGGGAGTTCATCTACTTTCCAAAAACAGTACTAAAAATAGCTATTACTCATTTCCAGAGAGGCTTGGAAGACAAGTTTAAATCAATGGTTATTAAATCCTCAAAGATGAACGACATTTTGCCCTACCTCAGGTCTCACAGGATCTTCAATGCCTACAACAGCAATGCATGTAAGACCAGTGACAATATCATTTTCATTATCCCATTCTGGTTCAGGTTCTCCAGCTGGGAAGTCTCGGAATGCTAGACATATTGTTCTGAGTCCCTCTGATGCCATAGGTTCTATAACAGTTTTTACAATATCATCACGGTCTCTTGGTCTGAATACTTTTGGTTCACCAGTAGCACTGAGTATCTTGAAACACCTACAAACAAAATACAACCCATTTCAAGGTTCTGAATGTCAATGAAATCTCTTCCAACTCAAAAAATTCACTCACAGTGCCTAATAGTTTTTTTTGAATACTTTTAATTTATGGATATTTTGTTTAACTCCACTGAATGTGTACCAGGGTTTAGTGATGAAGCGAAATTGGAAGAATGTTAGGAAAAATTGTGAAAAGGATAATATGCAATTTGTTCTAAATCACTATGAATCCATAATGTACTTAACATGATTTGGGATGAATTCAGAAGTAGGAATATTTTGATCCATAGTCTAAAGGTTAAAAATATTAAGCCATAAGAGCCAGTTTGTTGTAGCAGTTAATACATCAAGCTAGATACTGGGAGAGTCTGAGTTCTAGTCCCACCTGAAGCACAAAGCCAAACTGGCTGACTTTGAGCCAGTTACTCTCTCTTAGCCCTAGGAAGGAGGCAATCTTGCCAAGAGAAGGTCCAGGCAGTCACCAAGAGTCAAAATCGACTATGTTAGATAGTATAAAAAATGGTAAGTATAAAACATCTTTTTCAAAGAAGAGGTGCTATCTTATTTCATTATTTGATAAACGTTTTTATTAACAGAAGCATCATAAGCCTTCCAAATGCATTTTCTCCCTATGTAAGTATATTATTCTCAGCTATAGCTAACTACAAGATTCTATAAATAAGGCACAATAAGGAAACTATTCAAGAATTAAGCTGGCAAAAGCTTCCCAGGAAATACCATTGTTTTCAGCAATAATTCCAATAAATAATAAAACTCATAATACTAGCAGAATTTAAAAGATTGTGGGACTATAACTGGACAAAGTACATTCCAACTCTTTTTTAAATCTAATCTATTCCTACTCAACTGTACAATCATCAATCTAGTTTTTCATTTAAAAAACAAGAACGAGAATATATTCAGCTTCATTATATTAATTCAAATAAAAATGTAAACAAATGGAAATGTTTTTATTATTATTACATTTATTTGCTGTCTATCTCACTCTGGGGATACTCTGGGTGGCTCACAACCATAAAAAATGTGAAGAAATGAAAAGGAGATTTAAACGAAGCAAAAGTAAAATTGAACAATAAGCAAAAAAAAGAAAATGAAAACAAAGAGAACACATCAATACGATTAACAAAAAAAAAAAAAAGATGGAGTAGGCAGGAGAGTTGGGAGAGGTGTTGGCGTTGAGTCTGCTATTAATCTAGCAGCCATCTCCAGAGGTGAACTCCCCCATTGAGTCTCCAGTCAACTTCCAGAGTCAGATCTTTAGGCTCTTACAGAATGAGAGGAGATTGGGGCAGGTCTTATCCTGGAGGCCAGGGTATTCCAAAAGATGGGCGCTGCGGCAGAAAAGGCTCTTCTTCTGGAACCTGACAGTCAGAGTTCTTTGACCAACGGGATCTGCAATATGCCTCTCTACCAGCCTGACTAGGACCGGAAAGACTTAGTGGGACAATATGTTTCATCAGGTAGCCTGGACCTATGCCATTAAGGGCTTTAAAGGTCATCATCAGTGGTGAGATACAGCCAGTTCGCACCACTTCGGGAGAACCGGTTGTTAAGATTCTGAGCAGTTTGGTGAACTGGTTGTTGAAAGAAATCATTAGGGCAGATGGTTGTTAAATTATTTGAATCATACCACTGGTCATAACCAACTGTACTTGGAAGCAGACCAGTACCAATGTAGTTCGCCAGGCAGCGGTATAATATGAGCCATACTAGGACTCCAAAAACTGATCTCACTGTCCCATTTTGTGCCAACTGAAGCTTTCAAATGGATTTCAAGGATAGCCCCATGTAGTGTACATTGAATTAGTCCAGACAAGAGATGATCAGGCCTTGAGTAACTGAGTGCAGTCAAGATCCAGGAAAAGTTACAGCTGATGCATAAATTAGAGGGGGCAAAAGCTCTCCTAGTCACACCCTGCTACCTGCTCTTTCAGCAGGAGACATAAGCCCAGAAGAACCTCCAAATTGTAAACTGTGCCTGAACAGAGAAATGCAACCCCATCAAGAATCAGAGATGACAAGGCTCCGTGTACTCAAACCAACTCAGTCTTGCCAGTGTACAGAAGTCCACTGTCCCCTATCCAGGATCCCACAACCTCCAGGCATCACGAGAGAACAGTCAGCATCACTTGAGTCACTACATGTAGAAATATAGAGTTGAGTATCATTAGCATATTGACAATATCTCAACTCATAGTGATGAGTGATCTCACCCAGTGGCTTCATATAGATGTTAAATAGAAGAGTAGAGACTACCAAGCCTTGTAGGAAGCTGCAAGTTGAGTGTTTGGGGGTTGGATTCTTCAATCCCTATCAATACCAATTGGGAGTGACTTTAGAGAAAGGAGCTGAACCAGTTTAAAACTGTGCCACCAAGCCCTAAGTTGTGAAGCTGGCCTGAAAGGATACCATGGCTCATAATTGAAGGCCACTGAGAGGTCAAGGGCAAGAATGGTTGCACTACTTCCTTTTTGCTTTTGCCAGAGATCATCATAACTGTCTATGTCCTATAGCCAGGCCTGAATTCTGACTGAAAGGGGTCCAGGAAATCCATTTCATCCAGGATTCTCTGGAGTTACCAAATATCTTCCTTTTCTCTAAAAAGAGAAGACGAGAAACTGGACAAAAATTGTCCAGGCAGGTGAGATTGAGTGATGGTTTCTTAAGAAGAGGAGAAATCAGAGCCTCCTGGGAATATCTCCTCTTGCAGGAATGGCCATGGAAGACTTAACTGTTTCTAAAATTAAGGAACCTTGTTAAAGAGATAGTTTAGGAATTAATCTGACATCACATCATGTCAAATAAAAGTGTTCAATTGCTAATACAAATTAAAAACATCCTTACATCCACTTTGGAGGTTGCTTGTTCAACCTTATCAGCAAAGCAAATATTCTAAATAGAGTACATTATTCTGGTTTTAAAGGCTACTGAAAAAGTTACAAATACAGTGCTTAACTACCAGAGAATATCCTTTCACATATTTAATCAAATCTCTATAGTAGAGTTATTTAAATGCCAGGGACTACTATTTCAAGAATACAAAAAATAACTTGCTTTTTAAGTACTATCTCTGAAGCACCCTTGCTGAAGATCCGGAAACTGCCATCTGAGTTCTTTAACACAGTACTCATAGATTTTCTAACAGAGTTGAAGGTGTAGACTTTATAGAGTGCCTCTTCTGGTATTTCATTTCTAACTTCCTGGTAATCTCGTTTCAAATCCAGAAGGAATCCCAGCAAGGCACATTCAGTTTTATTACCAACATGGCGAGGAAGGCCACCTTCCTTTTCAGGAGGCTGAAAGACAAAGCAGTCTTTTTCACTAGGAATTTGCTTCAATTAAAATAAGACACAATAACTTTACATGATCATTAATTCTATATTACCCAGAATAAAGTTTGGTTATGCTTTATAAATTTAAAACAGGCTAACCTTTGAAGAGCAAATGTAAATACTGTATAGCATTTTACATTTACTGTTAATTTTCAACACCATTAAAATTAAGAGAACTCAACTACTAGCATTACAAGAAAGGTTTTGTAAGTTTAATAATGTTTTGTTAATGTACAGGTAATATTGTAATATGACAAATACTTGAAAATAATTTTACTGTATTTACCTTTAACAAATTTAAGTAGTTTTATACAAACATTGATTAAAATGTACGTAATTAACAAAATATTAATTCTTAGCTTGTATTGAAATATGTTCAATGTTAAAGCATGTCTTTTTAATATATACTTACCAAGATTTTGGAAGTATAAGCAGAATTAACAGAGATGCCTGTTACAAGATATGATAAGGTTTTATCAGGAATAGCTTGCACTTCAGGAATTTTTTTATAATGCTTTTCACTAATATATGTCTGGACCACTGTCATTCTGTTCATCGTCAGGGTTCCTGTTTTATCTGAGCAAATGGCTGTTGCATTTCCCATTGTTTCACAAGCATCCAGGTGTCTGACCAAATTGTTATCTCTCATCATTTTCTGTTTCAAAAGAGGACAAAATCATGTCTGAACAGCATTAAAGCATTCTTAGAAAGTATTTACTATCTTTCCCAAGTTGAACTTCTTATATGAACACAAATGTGGAGGTTTTCAGCAGATACCAGACAAAAGAAAGGAGTAGACTGCATATTTGTAACATTTGGAAAGAATCTGGCAGGCACCCAGTCTTTTAGTTTTCCAGAAGCCACTGGGATAGAGTGATGGAAACCTAGGGATGGTTATGGGAACATCATCCTAGGAGATTAATGGGACACCAGTTGTTGTCGTTGTTGTTTTAGTTTTTTTCTTTTAATAGATTGTAATTTTATTATTATGATAGGCTGCCCAAAGTTGTGCTCTAAGATAAATGGCCATACATATCTTTTCTAAAAAATAAACAGGTAAAATTTATATTTAAGTCTAGATTGTAAGAGTGCCAGCCATTAGATCAAATGAATAATACAAAATGTGTCTGCTTGTTGCTCTCCTTCATGCCCACCTCCATCACGGAACTCCCATCTGCTCATGTAATACACTGCGTTCTGGTATTTGGCTGTATCTTTTGGCTTTGATAGCACTTTCTGCAACTGATTATTCCTTTGTCTTGTTGCTCATTCTTAAGAGGGAAATTTTTCATCAAATTCCACCCAGGCATTTTACCTCTGAAATCCTCATCACATTTTATTACTAGATAGGCACGTAATACTTTGAAATGGACTTACATGCACTAGGGATTAAGCAAGGCAAAAAGCCATATGATGGGGGAACTCTCAAAGTCATTTATGCACATTTTTCTTTGAAGTGTAGCATACTGTACTGTTCCATCTTTAGTTCTGTTGCCCCAGAAAGAGCCAGTTCCCATCTGGGAGTTCTCTTATACTTGTACAGCAGCAGATGGAGGCTGTGGCCAGGAAAGTATTTGCTAAATTTTGCTGAAGTGTCAGCTGTGACCATTCTTGCAGCAGAGAGCGCTACTAATGGTTATTTATGCTCTTCTCACTTGGACTACTAGAATCCAGTCTACAGACGGCTGCCCTATACACCATTATGTTAATACAGTTTATAACTATAACTATGTTTTACAGTTAATATAAACTACACTTGTCTGCCCTGCCTGCTAACTATCTTTATGGGAGGAGCTGCATTGTCTATCAATTCAAGAAGTGCTATGATGTATAAAGCTCTGAACAGCTTGGATCCTGAATACCATTAACACCAGTTACACCATGTAGAACTTCCCCAATATATACAGCTAGGGAAGGTATGCTGCAAATCTGGTCCATTCAGGAGTTAAATAGAGCGTTTGCTTAGAAATAACATTTTTCTGAGATAGTCTTTACTCAATGAAATCTTCTTGTTGTTGTTCCTTCCATCTACATTGTATTAAGGTGGATACATCCTTCCTGTTAATATTCAGGAAGGCAGTTCAAATGCTGCTTTTTTGCAGAGTTTTCAGAGGATGAATTACATTATTCTTTCCAATGTAAACATTATTTAGCAAATTTTTATTAGAAAATTTGTGGTGATTTTTTTCACAGATTAAATTCTGATTTGTTGCTTTTGATAATGCTTGACTACTATATTATTTCGCTTTTTGTACTGCCCATGTTATAAGCCATTTCTAGTCTTTCATTGAAATAGCATATAAAATTTGAAAATAAATGAAATAAGCTATTAAATAACTACTTCAAACAAATATCAGTGAAGTATAGTTCCTTGGGGAAAAAATTCTTATTCTTAACTATTGCATATTAAAATACTACATACCAAGTCACGTTTTTTGCTCATACCTTTACAGAGTAAGCCAGTGAGATAGTTACTGCCAGTGGAAGACCCTCTGGAACAGCCACAACCAAAACAGTAACACCAATGATGAAGAATTTCACAAAATACTGAATATATATTGGTGTACATTCTGCAAGCCAAGGAAGTTTCTGGATCCAGAAGGTATCAATTACAAAATATAATACAAGAATGATGACTGTAACAGCAGACATCAGCAACCCTTTCATGAAGAAAAGAGACCTAGTTGATTGTCATATAAATAACAGTCTTAAATAGCATTCACAGACTTTGTCAACAGTTTATACAATTGGAAGGTATCTTAATGGCAATCTAGTATAACCCCTTAGGGCAAAATTCAGTAATGGTAATCTCTGACAGATTACCATTTAGACTCTGTTTAAAAATTCAGTGAAGAACTCATCTTTTCATTTGATTGCTTGTTCTACTGGCTGATAAACTTGTAGAAAAAATATAATGTGCACCAATTCTTTGTAGTTTTAACCCATCAAATATGGTTATGGCTTTATAAACAATAAAGAATAAGTCTATTTCCTCTTCTAGGTGTCAACCATTCAAATATTTGAAAACTGCTGTTATATGTCCTTTTTAGTCGTATCTTCTGTAGACTAAACGTAGCCAGTTCCTTTACTAATTCTGCACAGGTTTCACCACTGGTAGCTTTCTCTGAATTTCTCTCGGTTTATCATTGCCATTTTAAAATTATAGTACCAGAACTAGATAAACGATTTCAAGTGGTATCTGACAAAGTAAAGTGAACCAATAACTGCCTGTGATTAGGATTTTATGCTCCTGTTAACTGAACCCCAAGATAATATTTACCTTTTCAACAGCTATATCACATTGCTGGATCATTTTTAACTTGTGAACACTAAGGATACTTAGTAATACCCAGACTTTATTCACATAGACTATTGTCAAGCCAGTTCTTACTTGTGACTTAGTAATGTGAAATTATAAAATGTTAAAACAATCTCTTTGAAGTCTAGAATTTTATGAACAATGGCACACGGTTTCAGAGTGCCAAAATCTTCAGTGCAAAAATATTTTAATCACATATGTACATACTAAAGAGGCCTGAACTGGCAATGATTGATCCAGAAATATGTTTTGGAGTTTTAGGTCTTACCTCAATGAGAATACCAAAATATTATGTTGCAGTTAAGAAAAAGGAAAATTCTGTGTTGCTCATTAGAAAAAACACTGAAAATAAAACTCTTCCATTATATTACATTTATTCAAATCTAATTATGTATATTTTAAAGCTGAAACTAAAAGCTGAAAAGGCAAGTAACACAATGAAAGGATTAGAGTAACTCCCATTTGAGATTTTTTTTATATAAAGAAAAGGGCAATAAGACAGTAAGTACACAGCACATAATTAATATTATTGATTTACTGCCATCAAAAGTATTGATAGACAGCACTCTTTATGGCTCTAACCTACTGTTTAGAAAATCGTGGAATTTAAACATTGTCAATGGATACTAATCATGCCACCTCTAGAATAACAACATGCTTCCCATGAGCATTGATTTGAGTACAGAAAGAAAAAAAATATTATGTTTTTAAAATATTTTGATTATTTCAATATGGTTTCTAAATGTTCTAGGATACCTTAAAAACAGTTCTTATTAAAATTAGCAAAATGGCTATTATGATAACCTATGAGGAATATTGATGCTGATGACAAACTCAATACATTGTATTCAGTATCATTAAGGCAACACTCAAATAGTGTGATCAAACAAAGCAAAGGAATGGCAGAAGCTGGACTTCCAGGGTTTTATAAATCATTGTATAAATATTATAAATCAAGCTAAACACAGGTTTTAACTTCAGCTGATGTCCAACTACACCAGGGGTCTTCAAACTTGACAGCTTTAAGACTTGTGGACTTCAGCTCCCAGAATTCCTCCTCTAGTCATGTTAGCTCAGGAATTCTGGGAGTTGAAGTCAATAAGTCTTAAACTTGCCAAGTTTGAAGATCCTTGAACTACATCAAGACCAGCACAAATTGAAATGTCAGCAACACTAAATAGCATTAGTTTGACAATAATGCCAGTCCAATAATGCCAATCTGTTATTTTATTCTCTCCAGAGACAACAATTGAAGAGCCATACCTGCTTTACCAATCTGAACTGCTAGCTTTGTGAGCTTTCCTTGTAGAACTGATTTCTCTTTCTTAGGCATATTATTTCTTTTTTTGTCATCTCCATCTATACCATCTTCGCTCTTCAAAGGTTGCATTTCCATAGCTGCACCATCTTGAGCTTTTGCTAAATTCATAAAAACACAATTGAATGAATAATCTATTATGGTTCATGAGCAGATCATAAATTTCAAAACAACCAAATACAACCTTGGAATATAGCAAAATCTCATTAACTGAGTGAATTATCTGCTTCCGCTGTTGGGTCTGAATAAAGCAGAATTTTATGGCTTGGGCACGGTATTGATCAGGTGAATAGGTAATTTCAGGGCACCTATCTTTTAGGAAGAATTTTAAACACCATTGGCCAGAATGGCCAGGCAGTTCACCTATAAAAGATTGGATCAGGTGGGAATGTAAAAACACAAATAAGCTCCAGAAAATCTAGAGTGCATATAAAATATATGATATTAATTTTGTACAGTTTTAAGGAGCGCTACTTTAACACTTGAGAGAAATAAGCTTCAATCAATCCAAAATATAAGTTTAAATTTCCAGAGTTTCCAGCAGGCATGGGTAAAAAAACATCATTTCAAATCATATTAAGCACAAAATATCATGAATTTTGAGTTTAAAACAAGCTATCTGGATATCCTGGAAGTCTTTTGAACTTAAAAAGAATGATTTCAACTCCAAACAGCTCTGCCTAAAATTACAAATACAAATACTCTGTGCAATCCATTTTGCAGAGTATACTGTCTCTAGTGCTACTATATGTTTCACAAAGTTTTATCTGCACAACACTAAAAAATAAAATGCTCATCATTATTAAATAGCATGTTCACCAACAAGTTAGGCATCTTATTCTTTATCACAATTAAAATATTGTTCTACTAGTTCTGTTTATCCATATTGTAATTTTAATACTATCATAATATCATATTGTAATTTTAAGACTATCATAAATCACATCTTTGATATTTAAAATTAAGATGCAGTTGACATTTTGCATAGAAGTTATTTTTTGGAAAAAGATTTAACAAACTGAAAAATTAACAAACTTCCATTAGAACAAACTGAAATACCCTGAAAAAGTGTGCAAGCTTTTGAATTCTACAGAATTCATTCAAAATGCTACTTCACCTTTTTTTAAAAACCTAATGAAGAATTCTGGAGAAATTGAAAGCTTAGACACATTTCTGTGGATTCTGATTATTTCTAATAAAGGTGCTGTTCTAACATATATCTGAATTTTTAAAATGTAAGTCATACCTTTGTTACGATTTTCAATAGCACCATCTTGTTTTTTACCTAAAATCAAAAATAGTTATCATTTTCAGAAATTGGTAAATACTTTATATATATTTTGTTACTGAGATGTATTCCTATTAATTTTCATTTTCTTTCAGAATAACTGGCAACAATCTAATGTGAATGTTTGTTGGACCATATAATAATGATCTACGGAAATAATGAACGTGTGAAAGCACTATTAAACAAAATGTTTAATTCTGTTTAAAATAAGTATAAGTTTTAAACTAATGTAGTAAACGTATTAAAATGTTCAGAGGCAGAATTTCTGAAGAAATGATAAGAAACTCAGTCAAGGTCAATTAAAGTCATTCTTAAGTCTACAAGATTTCAGATATATGCCTGAAATATATTGCCCAAACCCCAATTACAAGGTATTGTATTCTATTCATTTGGTTTGTAAAACAGGAAATGCCTTATTATTCAATTAATTGTAATATAGTAATTTCCCTGCTTCTCCAGCTGATTAATCCAGTCAAGTTTAATAAAACTGTATTAGTGTGCAATTTTCATTTTGTCACTTCAAATTTTCCTTGTTCTTTTTTTGCAGCCTTCTCATAATCTCATGTTATCCTAAAGAATTGTACTACACTGCTCGAAAAAATAAAGGGAACACTTAAACAACACAATGTAACTCCAAGTCAATCACACTTCTGTGAAATCAAACTGTCCACTTAGGTAGCAACACTGATTGACAATCAATTTCACATGCTGTTGTGCAAATGGAATAGACAACAGGTGGAAAGCAGAGGCAGTTAGCAAGACATCCCCAATAAAGGAGTGGTTCTGCAGGTGGTGACCACAGACCACTTCTCAGTCCCTATGCTTTCTGGCTGATGGTTTGGTCACTTTTGAATGCTGGCGGTGCTGTCACTCTAGTGGTAGCATGAGACGGAGTGTACAACCCACACAAGTGGCTCAGCTAGTGCAGCTCATCCAGGATGGCACATCAATGCAAGCTCTGGCAAGAAGGTTTGCTGTGTCTGTCAGCATAGTGTCCAGAGCATGGAGGCACTACCAGGAGACAGGCCAGTACATCAGGAGACGTGGAGGAGGCTGTAGGAAGGCAACAACCCAGCATCGGAACCACTACCTCCGCCTTTGTGCAAGGAGGGACAGGAGCACTGCCAGAGCCCTGCAAAATGATCTCCACAAATGTGCATGTGGCAGCTCAAATGGTCAGAAACAGACTCCATGAGGGTGGTATGAGGGCCCGATGTCCACAGGTGGGGGTTGTGCTTACAGTCCAACACCATGCAGGACATTTGGCATTTGCCAGAGAACACCAAGATTGGCAAATTTGCCACTGGTGCCCTGTGCTCTTCACAGATGAAAGCAGGTTCACACGGAGCACGTGTGACAGATGTGACAGGGTCCGGAGACACTGTGGAGAACATTCTGCTGCCTGTAACATCCTCCAGCATGACTGGTTTGGCAGTGGGTCAGTAATGGTGTGGGGTAGCATTTCTTTAGGGGGACGCAAAGCCCTCCATGTGCTTGCCAGAGGTAGCCTGACTGCCATTAGGTACTGAGATGAGATCCTCAGACCCCTTGTGAGACCATATACTGGTGCGGTTGGCCCTGGGTTCCTCCTAATTCAAGACAATGATAGACCTCATGTGGCTGGAGTGTGTCAGCAGTTTCTGCAAGACGAAGGCATTGATGCTATGGATTGGCCCGCCCGTTCCCCAGACCTGAATCCAATTGAGCACATCTGGGACATTATGTCTCACTCCATCCACCAACGCCACGTTGCACCACAGATTGTCCAGGAGTTGGGGGGATGCTTTAGTCCATGTGTGGGAGGAGATCCCTCAGGAGACCATCCGCCACCTCATCAGGAGCATGTGGAGGCCACACATACTACTGAGCCTCCTTTTGACTTGTTTTAAGGACATTACATCAAAGTTGGATCAGCCTGTAGTGTTTTTTTCCACTTTAATTTTGAGTGTGACTCCAAATCCAGACCTCCATGGGTTGCTAAATTTGATTTCCATTGATAATTTTAATGTGATTTTGTTGTCAGCACATTCAACTATGTAATGAACAAAGTATTTAATACGAATATTTCCTTCATTCAGATCTAGGATGTCTTATTTTTGTGTTCCCTTTATTTTTTTGAGCAGTGTATAACTTTCATTATTGTCCATTATTACTATATAATAAATTCCTGGTATATTCACATTGAATATGAATACAACATGTTAAAGTATGTTTCAGGATTTATTTTTAGACTTATCTGACATGTCTCATTGAACACATCTTACTTCAGTGATATTTCTAAGAACACCTGAAGAAAAACTTGATTCTACAGGCTCATAAATTGAAAGCTGAAGCTAATTTGCAACAATAGCTTGAAATAATTTTAATTATGTTTTTAAATTTATTTTGAATGGCTGAAGAATATCAGTGAATTCTAAAATTATATTACTCAAAATTTACATAAAATATAAATGAACAATAAACTATCTGCAATTATCTCTAAAATAAATTTACAAGATTTTAAAAGTGCCTACTTTTCTTTTCTTTTTTTTCTTTTTCCTTTTTTTCTTCCTCATCTTCCCCTCCAGCACCAAGTAAAGTAAATATAATTCCAGTTTGTGAGTTTACCCCTACAGCAGTAACTACCATTCTTCCAGAACCTTCCATAACATGTGTACCTAGGATGAAAAAAGCATGTGTGAATTAAGGATAAGCAATGTGAATTTTGTAGCTTTATGAAAATGTTAATGCTTATTTATTTGGTAATCTAAAGAGTTCAAGTAGTTTGCATAGAGTTATCTTTCATTATATCTTCTAATAAACCTGTGAGGTAGGTTGGCTGAGAGAAAGTCACAGCGCTCAATTGCTGGAAAAACTTAAATCCATGATAATATACAATTATTATGATCAACAAAAGCAGCAATAAAAATAAAAAGATATACTTATTTTATCAAAGATGAAGACACAAAGGGGATCAAATGCTCTCCTGGTGCTTTGAACTATTTATATCATAATTTCAGCATACTAATACTACATAATTTCAGATTGGTTAGACATATCTATCACATTATTCCCCTTCATAGTAAGCATCTAATGCGAAGTACGGAAATAGTGAATAATAGTAAGCAAAATAAAGGCTGGAAGTAAGACAAGAGGAACTTACATCTTATTTATATCAATATCTTTCACCTCTACTTTTTAAATCCCTCTAGACTAGTGGTTCCCAAACTTTTTCAGTCCACCGCCCCCTTGGTGCTACAAACTCATCTTAAGTGCCCAACACACAGGGGTGGGATTCAAATTTCTTAACAACTGGTTCTGTGGGCATGGCCTAATTTGTGGGCATGGCTTGGTGGTCATGTGACCGGATGGGAGTGGTTTGGTGGTCATGTGACTGGGTAGGCATGACTTGCTGGTCATGTGACTGGATGGGCGTGGTTTGGTGGCCATCTGACTGGGTGGGCATGGCCAACTGGCCATGTGACTGGCAAACCAAATATAAGTGGTCCTCGCTTAATGGCCAGTTGCTTAGTAAGTGTTCTAATTTATGACTGACCTCCCCAGAGCTACCCGTTTTGGAGTTTTGACAGCCATGTGCGTACACACACACACACACACACACACACACACACACACACAAACACAAACACTCCCTTCTAACCCGGTTGGAGCAGGTGGTTGGACTAGATATCACATTCACTTTTTCCTCCCTCCCTTGCTTTTTTCTTTCCTTCTTTCTTTCTCTTTCTGTCTCTTCCTTCCATCCCCTCTCTTTCTTTATCTATCCTTTTTTTTCCTTTCTCTCCCTTTTTCTTTCCCTTTTCTTTCTTGTCTCTTCCTTCTCTTTCTCTCTCCTTCGATATCCCATTCACTTTCTCCTCCCTCCCTTTTTCTTTCTTTCTCTCTAATTCCCTCTCTTTCTTTCTTTCTGTCCCTTCCTTCCATCCCCCCTTTCTTTGTCTATCACTTTTCTTCTTTTTTCTCTCCATTTTTCTTTCTTTGCTTTCTTGTCTGTCCCTTCTCTTTCTCTCTCTTCCCCCCCCTCTTTCTCTCTCTTTATCCCTTCCTTAACCTATTTTCATTTATTTTATTTATTTGTCAAGTGATTATAAGAAAACAGGTATAAGTATAAACATAGTTATGAATACATGAAATGGATACATATAGAAAAATAAAAATAAACAATAGGACAGCGACGGTACGCACGTTGTGCGTGTATGCGCACCCCCTACAGACCTCTTAGGAAAGTGGGGAGGTCAATAGTAGACAGTCTAAGGTTAAAGTTTTGGGGGTTTGGGGAAGAAACCACAGTCAGGTAGAGTATTCCAGACATTGACCACTCTGTTGCTGAAGTCGTATTTCCTACAATCATGTTTGGTACAGTTTACCTTGAGTTTGTATCTATTGTGTGCTCTTGTATTGTTACGGTTGAAGCTGAAGTATTCATTGACAAGTGGGACACTGCAATGTATAATTTTATACACTATACTTAGATCAGACCTAAGGCGGCATAGTTCTAGGTTTTCTAGGTCTAGAATTTCAAGTCTGGTGGCATAAGGTATTCTGCAACGAGTAGAGGAGTGGAGAACTCTTCTTGTGAAATATTTCTGGACTTTCTCAACTGTGTTAATATCAGATACGTAATGCGGGTTCCAGACTGATGAGCTGTATTCAAGTATTCGTCTAGCAAATGTTTTGTATGCTCTAGTTAGCAATGTGATATTACCAGAGAAAAAGCTACGTAGGATTAGGTTAAAACTCTTAACATCTTTTTGGCTATGTAGTTGCAGTGAGCTCTTGTACTTAGATCATTAGAGATGAGTACTCCAAGGTCCTTGGCAGAGTTTGGCTCATCAACAAGGTCTTGACTATTCAGCTTGTATTTTATTTTCTGATTCTTTTTGCCAATATGTAAGAGAGAGCATTTATTTTTCTGCCCAGGCAGGTGTGGCCTAATCTGTCAAAGGCCTGGGCTAATCCTGCATCACCCTGTTTCCCTTTTCAGAGGCCGAGGCCCTTAATCTCCCCGTTTCCTCCCCCACGACCGCCTCTTTCATCGTCCCACGGCCGTGACTTTCCTTTCCTTCTGCGGCTGGCTGCCAGGGAAGGCAAGCAGGGCTGAGCAATTGTTGTTGCTGGGCTCCCTGCCAGCCCACATCACTCTTGTCACGAATGCCTGCAGCCGTCAATTTTTTTTCCAGTGAGAGTGGATTGCAGCCGTACCCCCCCCAAAAAACACATGGTGGCTGGAAGTTTTTTGCAGTGAAAGTTACCAAGCTCCAGCTTTTCTCTGCTCCTCCATTGCAGCGCTGCAGCTGCATTCTAGGCACTGGGCCCGCAGATCCACCCCATTGAGCCTGCTGCACTGGAGAGACTTGCCCAAGCAAGTCCGAGCGGAGTGGTGCAGCAGTCAATGGGGTAGGCCTGCATGGCTGGTGCCTAGAACTCAGCAGCAGTGGCGCGTTGGAGAAGCAGAGCAAAGCCGGAGGTCAGTAATTTTCACTCCAAAAATCTCCAGATTCCGCATGGTTTTTTCGGTACAGCTGGAGTCCAGCTGCACTGAAAAAAAAAACCACACGGTGTCTGGATGCTTTTTACAGAGCAAATTACCGACCTCCAGCTTGGCTTGCTCCACTTCTCCAACACACCGCTGTGGCCGTCAGCAACTGTCACACATACACGCGATGTCGCACATGCACAATAAGGACTGATTGGGTAGGGAATGGAGGAGTGGGCAGAGAGGAGCAGGGCCAGCCAGGGGCATACTTTACTAGTTCTCCAAACTACTGTGAACCAGTAGAATCCCCCCCCTCCGAATTGCACCCTGCGAGGGACCCACCTCCCTTGCCTCTTAGTGCCCCCCTAAGGCATCCCACTGCCCCCCAGGGGGAGGTACCACCCACTTTGGGAACCACTGCTCTAGACAATGATTATTGGAGGTTTTAATATAGATATGAAAGGAGGAGGGAGAGAGAGATTGCCATGAATTTTAACTTTAATCAATCAGCAAGCAAGCCACTAGCCTACCACTTGTAGTGGAAAACTTTTCTAATCAGTCTTCACTTGTCTCCTGCATCAATAAATAAGGATGTAATCCTGACTGATCTTATCTTCATTTTTTTGGAATATATTTTGAACCTTTAGTGGAAGGAATTATGTCTCTCATAGAAACTTTTTTTATTATCTTTGACTTTTGTTGCAAGTCTTTGTTCGTTCTGAGCCATTGCTATCCTGACTTCGTCTTTGCAGATTCTGGCTATCTGCTGATATTCTGCCTTAGTTCTTTGTCCTTCTTTCCATTTTTTGTATTTGTCCTTTTTTTCTTTCAATTTGCCAGAGAGATCTTTGTGCAGCCATGCTGGTTTCTTCTTGGATTTCTTGTTTTTCTTTCTCAGTGGTATTGTGCTGGTCTGGGCTTCTATGATCATACTTTTTAGAGTTTCCCAAGATTCTTGAGTTGTTTTCCCCTTTAGGATTTTCATCCATGGAATCTTTCCCAAGTTCTCTCTGAGTTTATTGAAATCAGCTCTTTTAAAATCCAAGACTCTGGTGTCATTATGTTCTGTTGCTTGTGTTTGTGTTATGTTGAATTCTAGTATGACATGGTCACTCTCACCCAAGGTTCCTGGAGTTTCAACTCACTCTAGCACTTCTTCTCTGTTTGTAAGAATTAAGTTCAGTATGGCTGTCCCTCTAGATTCACCCTCTACTTTTTGGACAACAAAGTTGTCAGCTAGGTTAGGAACTTATTTGATTTCTCACTTGGTGCAGAATTAGTTTTCCAATTGATATCAGGATAATTGAAGTCTCCCATTACTATTGTTGTGTGTTTCCTGCATATGCTTGTTAGTTGGCTGGCAAAAAGGACATCTATTTTTTCTGCTTGATTGGGTGGCCTATAATATATGCCTATGGCCATGTCATTTTTTTTTTATTTTAGATTGACCCATATGCATTCTAGGAAGTTTTCATCTTTGGTTTCATGCATTTCTGTAGCAATACAGTGGTCCTTTACATACAGTGCAACTCCACCTCCTCTTTTATGAGGTCTGTTTTTTTTAATAGTTTGTATCCTTCTACCAGTATATTCCAGTAATGGGTTTCATCCCACCAAGTTTCTGTTATTCCAACTATATCATATTTATGTATCGTAGTTCGAGTTCACCCTGTTTATTCCCCAGACTTTGTGCATTTGTATATAGGCACTTGAGATCTTTGTGTCTGACACTGTGTTACTGTCTACATTACCTGTGTTGTGCCTGCCTGCCCCTACTTTCTTGCCACCTGTTTGATTAGTGCACGTGGTATGGCACTCACTATTAAATGGTTGGTTTTGGTTGGCATCAAGGTTGATAATCTTACCTGCACAAACATCTATTTTGCACGCACTGGTATCCTTATTAGTTTTAGGTTTCTGGGGACAGAGATGTTCTGAATCCATTAATTCTCTGTCCCCGCTGTTCAGTTTAAATGTTTATCCAGGAAATCTGTGAATCGAATGCCAAGTAACTCAGTCCCTTTCTTTGATGGATGGAAACCATCTCTTTTGTACAGTTTTTCATTGGACCAGCTGCAGACATCATGACTAATAAAACCAAAGCCTTCCCTTTTACACCACTCCTTTAGCCACACATTAAACTCTGCTATACACTGCCCTTTCTCTTTTTGTTTCTTGTATACTGGTAGAACCTCTGAAAAGATAAGCCTACAGTCCATATTACTAAGTTCATACCCCAAGCTCTGGAAGTCTTTCTGAACAGAAAGTACATCTTTCTGGGACAGGTCATTTGTACCAAGATGTATAATAGCATCAACATCACAGCCCTTGATGACTTAAACAAATGGTTAAGTCAAAGACTACCTGTTCCTTGAACATTTGTTAATATATTTAAATGTTAAATTGCACTGAACATTCCTATGAATCTATGGGGGGAAATAAACATAGTCAAAATGATTATATCTTCTACACTGATTTACACTTTGAGATGAATTTTTATATTAATTCCTTCAGATGTTTTATATCAAGAGAGAAGTTATTCAGGATTTTTTTTTATGGGATAGCCATATGGGTATTTAATGGGACATTTTTTTAGCTTAATGTAGGCTTTAACACAAAGAATGGGGCTATGTATGTTTAACTCCGAGATTTTCAGTTCTACTAAGTGGCTTATATTTTAATTAGTTTTATAAATAAAATAATTCTGAGTATAAACTATTATAGGAACAATTTATAGGGAGTGAGAATATTTTCATGGCAGGTCACGATTCTTACATTATGAAAAAACATCATTCCATACATATCTTATTTGTATTGTGAAAGAAATTTAAGTATTGAATCATAATACTAAATGAAATGTAACTCAAGAAATACATTATTTATGTATCAAATTTTGGGGACTGCACCATTCTATTTTTAAATATTATGTATCACTCTTTACTTTGAACATTTATTTCATTACTGAAGTATTAAACAATTAATTATTGCAGATTGGCGTGAAAAATAACATACTGAGGGCCACAGTTTCATTAATTTGTAATAATTTTCTATTCTAGTATACCAGTATTATAGAAATTATTTAATCTTATGGGAAAAGAAGATACTACAGTTACATATGCTTAATTAAACTAATCACATTAAAGGATACTTGTATGTTTGAAATCCTACCTGTTGTTAGGACCTATCATTTTGGTCCTGAGGAAGTTAAAAATGTAATACATAATATATAAGAGCACTAGTTCTTACCATACTGTCAACTGGGAGGAAAATGTGTCACATAAGTAGAAGTAGGAAACTTTGTTCAGTTTCCATAATATCTCATGCTTAGATCCTAGCTATGATTTGATCACTCACCTGAGAGCATCATAAGATCTCGATCCAACACTTTTTTAACAAGATCAGATTCTCCAGTGAGCGAGCTTTCATCAATTCTGAGGTCATTGCCTTGAATAAGCACACCATCAGCTGGTAAAAGGTCACCTAAAACAGAAGCCAGAACTATATTTAACAAACAAATAGTAAATTACAGAGATGACAATAAAATAAATGGGTATATTTACCATATTTTACTTGTGCAATGTCACCAACAACTATGTCAGCTACAGGTATCTGGATGACTTGGCCACCCCTGATGACAGTAAACTTCTGCTCTTGTTCAATACGGCTTTGCAATCCCCTAAACTGCTTCTCTTTACTCCAGTCATTAAAAGCTGTCACTAATACCACACAAACGACAGACAGGAGGATTGCAGCTCCTTCAATCCATCCTGTCTCACCGTCTTCTTCTTCTTCTCCAACTGATACTGTTCCACATACTGCAGAAAGTAAACAAATAATCCAAATTTCATATTCAGTTTTTATATTGATCTAGTTTATTCCAAAATCACAATGATTTAATCCATACAATCATTACTTAATTATATTGAGTATGTTCTAATAACAACACATCTGCTTATTCACTATTTAAATTTAACTATCTCAATTGTTTTCATATTCCACAAACCTTAGTAGGTAGTACAAGTAAGCCACTTTGGTAAGCCACTTTGTTGGCTGTACTACAACTATATTACAACTATTGTAAGGTTTTTTTAAATGGGCATCTGTCCTGTTCTCCCATGTCTTTAAATATATTTCTATTTCCATAGATTTTCAGAATTTCCTGCTTGTTTAATCTCGGTGGGTTTTTTAATTGTTATTTTATATTTATTTATTTATTTGAGAAAATTTATATGGCCGCTCACTCACTCTCAATGAATTTGGGTGGCTTATGAAAATAAAAAGCCAATATACAAATAATAAAAATAATAACCCCATAATACTTTAGTTTATTAACTCATGTTTTCTATTTTAGTCTAACTTAAGCATTTTATCTTAATTTAGTTGTTTTACTCTATATTCCCAGAGCTAGTTATAGAGGATCACTAATATTTTATTGGAAATATATAAGGTGGTAAGGCTATTTGGAACAAGCTCGCCAAATCCTTCTTGTGATGTAGTTTATAATCTCAGAAATTATGAAAGAAGCAACTGGGATAAACCATACTGTTTTTGCACTCTGATAAGATCTACTTCTTAAACTTTTGCTGATGTATGTTGAGGTTTAAATACAAGGTATCATCTCACCACCCACTTTTTTCAATTTTGGAAAGTGGGCAGTGGCAGAAATGTCCTCTGTTGGTCTCTCATTGGAATGATCTAAACTGTAAATTTACATAGAAAAATTATTGCAACAGTTATTTAGTTATTTAAGAAAATTTATATGGTCAGCCAACTCATACTCAGTGACTACGTTTTAATAGCAATATAAAAGTAACATAACATGGATCAACACTGTTCCCTTGGCATTAAAATAAACTTCAAAGCTATGTATGTACAAGCAGTTATAAAAATAAATGTACAAATAAATAAAACTAACCAATCAATGTTTCATCATGATCTTTTATTCTTCTACTTCTAATTGATGTACCTCAAATCCAGTTACTAGCCATCTTCAGAAATTCAAAAGAAATGTTTTGCAATACATAGAAGGGAAAATGAAGCATCTCTCCTTCAACTGTTTCAGCAGATATATAATTAGCTGGAGTGATGTGTCTGCTTCAAAAAGGTTTCATGTGTGTATACATACAGACCTACACTGTAGAAAGCTGGGAGCAACTCCCCAAGCAATTGTATGACCCTTGCAAAGTAATTTGTAGGCAAGTACTTAATTTGTCCTCTCACAAGTTGCAGAACACCTGTTCTTAAATAGATAAAAACCCAATAAACAGATAATCTTAAACTGACTCATAGATAGTCTGACTTTAATCTAATTTTGGATTATATGATTTCTCATAAATAAACACATAGCTAGTTCTTACTCAAAAGATGTATCCTATCCAGTTTTCAATGCTAGTAATCATTTGCCCAAGCTCTCATAAAATTAAACGATTATAAACCCCAATTCTTTAGTTGGAAAGGCTCCATATTGGAGTACAGAATAATAAAACAAGTTTATTATCAAAGGTGAACAAGCAGTACTCAAAAGGGCAAAGCAAGCATCTCCACCAAAGATGCTAACTCTTCTTAGGTACCACATATAGTACATTTTTCAGTATAATTATAATGAAAGAAAGAAAGTTGTTTCTTTAGTGATTCAATAAGTTCTAGGGGTCTTTATGCTTTATTAATTGTGAGGATCAGTAGATACTGAATAAAAACCCGAAGAGCTACAATCAAAATTCTACCAACAAATATCTGCTAATGCAAAAGGCCTTTTCTTCATTACTTTTTATAATTCTCCTACTCCAGAAAGCAGGGTGGACAACACATTACAATTTAAGGAGAAACCTTGTTTACCATCTGATATTATCAACTGATAGAAAAAAAAACTGATTCAAAAAAGAACAAGTAGAGCCAATCACACTGTCATAAAGTATTACTTAAGCTATATGGTTTATGTCAATCAGGACAAACATAGATTCTAATTTAAGACAAAGGATGGGGGAAGTGAAGTTGGAGCTTAATCCTCTCTTGGCCTGGGACCAGACCTTGCAATTACAGAAAAATATTAACAATGCTTCTTCCTCCTAACTTCTAAGGAATAAATACAAATAAAACAAAACAAACAAAAAAAGAAAGAAAATAAAAAAGTAACAATGAAAATGAAAAGAAACAATGTCTTTAGTTTCCTGGCTAGTTAGCAAAATTTTACTCAATCACATTTTTAATTAAATACTAAAGGCTACCTTTGGGCTGGCAGAAAGCACTCATTATTTGTCCAGTGTGTTTTACAAATGGAATCTATTAATATTATAACACATATTAAAGCAGCCAGCAATGCCATTTATTGGATAGGGATGGCAAGTGTACTCAAAACAGAAACATGCTTTATCTGTCAGCTAATTCCTAAAAGGAGTCAACTTTTTCAGAGATAGTAGCTATATGGTTTTTTTACAAACAAGAATTTGAGTTAAGGAGGATGCTCATTATTGCCTAGTTCATGCTTCCTTTACATAAACATATATTTTCCTAAATCCATTCAGGACCAAGAGAAACCAATGAAAAAGAAATGCTCCTCAAAGGTATCTTATTCAGTTATACCTGAGGGTATCCAGAATGTAGAAGGCAAACAATTGTTTAGAAATTAATCCACTAGTTTTCTCTCAATTAGCCTTTTGAACAGAGATTTTTGCTCCAAATAAAATAAATCTGCTTAGAAAACTCTTATATTTGGTAGTCGTACAAATAATATTAATATACCTTGTCAAATTTTGAATAAAGAGGAAACTGAAATAGCTTTGTAACAGCCTTCATAGACTATCTTTCATAAGAGCCCCCGGAAGAAGCATTTATTCATTTTATAATTCATGATAAAAAATTAAGTGCCGCTGAATTGAGTGCAGTCTCTAGTAGTTATATGAATATTAAAACATCAGAATACTTGCATCTGCATATAGGTAAAAATAATTTGGAAAGAACTATATGTAGAAGCATAGTAGGAGATTCAGATTTAAAGAAATAATATATAAAGTTATATAACAATCAAAATGGGTTGATATAGTTATATACACTTTTGTTGAAACTATTACTACCCTGGAAGACAGTGTGATAAGTGATGTAGTTCTTAAAAGTAGTGGTATTGCAAAACAGAATGCTGGCAGTTCAGAAAGTACTTACACTACTTTCTCTTTTCTACAGAATTTAAATGAAATAAGGAACATTTAAATGGATGGCTATAGCATTCATGTGATGGCAAAATTAAAAGATGTGGAAGACAGCACTCCTGGAAGCACAGAAAGCAGTCATAACCAAGAATTCATTATCTTTATTTAAATTACTATATCAACTAAAACTTTAACCAGACATACTGGGCAACTAACCAATGTTCTATAGCAAGATTTATAAATAGTTTGCTTTAATCATATTTTGTTGAGTAAGGTACAATAGCTTTGTTAACAAATAAGCCTTAACCCTATCAATATATTACATTACAATGAAGCCAAGTAAATTACATGTTATGTAATGTGTAAACCATTAGGGTTGACTTTAAAGAATATCCAGGGTTCTAGCTGTTCTAAATGCAATACCTGCGTTTTAATCAGCATTGCACTGGTTTCAAATTTATTTCTCAACACAATTCAGAGTTATAGTTAACTTTTAAAGTTTTAATGGCCTTGCTCCATTCAGACTACCTATGGAATAAACAGACAGAACATAGATCTAGATTTATCTGAGGTACAGAAAGAAGATTTACCAATTCCTAATTATACTGCTGAATAAAGAAAGATTGGGATAATCAAGCAAAGATTGTTACAGGGAAAGATGAAACAGTCTAATTTTAAAACTAACGCCAAATTCAAATATAAAATTTGATTATTTGATTTTAATATTGTTTCTGTAATAAACTTTACTTGTTAAATTTCAGAGTTATCATAAAAACTGAAACATGTTCCACTAGCCTGAAATCTTCCTGATCCTATTCTGAATAAAAAATATGTATATCCCCAACATTGAAATATTTAAAGGAGGCTTTGTTCCCAGGCTACTTTAAAAGTAAGCCAACAACTGAGCAATAGGTTTTCCGTACTTCAGAATGTCTATAGAGGTTCTCAATAATCCAGGTCATGGCTGTCCCTAAGATATTTTTTAAAAGAAGCAAAGAAATTCCAGTTGCCTCTTTAAAAAGCACCTTTGGGACAGCATTTCAAAAGTTATCTCAGTGAACATGCCAGAGAAAGAATTCTGCAGAAAAACATACTCTCGCTTTACCACCTAAAGCTTCTGACGGATTTTGAAACAATATGCAATATTTGTGTTAGACCATTTCAGATACAGTGTGTTAATTTTTAAATTCTGATTTTATCTGATAATTCTGAATTTTGTAGCATCACATTTAGTCATTACAATGAACAATATATGGTAAATAAACATTTATACTATATACACTGCTCAAAAAAATAAAGGGAACACAAAAATAAGACATCCTAGATCTGAATGAATGAAATATTCTTATTAAATACTTTGTCCATTACATAGTTCAATGTGCTGACAACAAAATCACATTAAAATTATCAATGGAAATCAAATTTAGCAACCCATGGAGGTCTGGATTTGAAGTTACACTCAAAATTAAAGTAGAAAAAAACACTACAGGCTGATCCAACTTTAATGTAATGTCCTTAAAACAAGTCAAAAGGAGGCTCAGTAGTGTGTGTGGCCTCCACATGCCTCTATGACCTCCCTACAACTCCTGGGCATGCTCCTGATGAGGTGGAGGATGGTCTCCTGAGGGATCTCCTCCCACACATGGACTAAAGCATCCCCCAACTCCTGGACAGTCTGTGGTGCAACATGGCATTGGTGGATGGAGTGAGACATGATGTCCCAGATGTGCTCAACTGGATTCATGCCTGGGGAATGGGCGGGCCAGTCCATAGCATCAATGCCTTCAACTTGCAGGAACTGCTGACATACTCCAGCCACATGAGGTCTATCATTGTCTTGCATTAGGAGGAACCCAGGGCCAACCGCACCAGTATATGGTCTCACAAGGGGTCTGAGGATCTCATCTCGGTACCTAATGGCAGTCAGGTTACCTCTGGCGAGCACACGGAGGGCTGTGTGGCCCCCTAAAGAAATGCCACTCCACACCATTACTGACTCACTGCCAAACTGGTCATGCTGGAGAATGTTGCAGGCAGCAGAATGTTCTCCATGGTGTCTCGGACCCTGTCACGTCTGTCACATGTGCTCAGTGTGAACCTGCTTTCCTCTGTGAAGAGCACACCGTTTGAGCCACCACATGCACATTTGTGAAGGTCATTTCACAGGGCTCTGGCAGTGCTCCTCCTGTCCCTCCTTGCACAAAGGCGGAGGTAGTGGTCCTGATGCTGGGTTGTTGCCTTCCTACAGCCTCCTCCACGTCTCCTGATGTACTGGCCTGTCTCCTGGTAGTGTCTCCATGATCTGCACACTATGCTGACAGTTTGGACAGTCTGATTTCACAGAAGTGTGATTGACTTGAAGTTACATTGTGTTGTTTAAGTGTTCCCTTTATTTTTTTGAGCAGTGTACATTTAAAAAAATATCTGTTCTGAAATCAGAATATACTTTAGACATCTTGATTGCTCCATTTAGCAGATTTCAATATAGATGAATGGCATTTTTAAAAAGAAATTCATCTAATAAAATGATAACCCAGGAATATTAATCTGCATTCGTGTTTGCTAAGTAACTGAATGTTGACCTGAATATAAGAGTAATGGGGTATATGTTAAATGTGTCTGCTTTTGCATTTACATCCACAGGAATGGGACTTAATAAGGAGAGAACCTTGTCCTGCCTCCACCGGATTTCCTAGTTCTTTCATTAATACCCCTATTTAGACACTCATATTTACCTGTCCTCGGGAGCAGTAAGGAATGGAGTACATGAATCCAGGCCTGCTCCTGAACTCTCTCCAGTGAAAAATACAGCATCTGAAGAGATCCTATACTTGAGGAAATTAGATTATAGTAAAGCTCAAAATGCCAGTCCAAACATAGATTAACTGAGCTCTTTTGATTGTCTACCCTATGTAACCCTGGGGAAATTAAGTTGAGAACATAGAGTGAAGTTGCTCTAATTATCCTTGTTTTCTAGATTTAAAAACAGAAGAAAAAGGAAGAGCGATACGCAAGATTATATAAACCTACAGCCATTCCATCAGACATTCAAGATATGTGCAAATATCATGAATATTAAAATCTGTATCTTGCTCAAATGAAGAAATGACTAGAATTTAATGTGAATATACTTTAACCTGTCAAGTTCTCACAGTTCTAAGAACACAAAATCCTTTTAGGATTTATAACAGAATTCTAACACATTCATTCTGGTGTATTTCATGACAAACAAGAATAAAAAAACCCTATTTGATTATACTTACATGCTTCGTTTCCTCCCAGAGGTTGGTAAAAAGAAAGGCCCAATGATATTATGGCTGCAATTTCTAAAATTATTAACGTAACATCCTGTAGTGCTTCCCATACTAACTGAAGAAATGTTTTTGGCTTTTTAGGAGGTATAAAATTCTTCCCAAATACAGCTGCTCTCCTCTCTATATCTGCTGGATTTCCACTCAAGCCTAAACAGTAAAAAGGGAAAATGATTTTAGAATTGTTTATTGTCACCTCCTAACAAAATATTTTCATATTGGATTTATTAAAATGTTAAATATACTGCAAATATGTTATTTTGTACTTATTTATTATCATGCTATTTATTCCCAAGTTTTCAAGCAAAATAGCCACTATGGTAATATCAGGACACTTTAGAGTTGCTTTTCTAAAATAGTACCAGCAACTGGCTACAAATCACTGAATACATATATTGTTTTATTGATTTTGATTTGATTTATAGATATTGAGTTCAGATAAAACCAGGTATGCTTTTAAAATATACATTTATTTTTCCGATTCAGTATATGCTAAACAACCCCCAATTTTCAAAGATATTAATTATATCAATAGCTGGAATTAGGATTACATGGACTGTTGTTTGTATAAGATTTTTCTGAATGCACAGAGGTTTGAATACAAAAATTTTGAGTTTCTGCTCATTCATTGCTACCATGCGGGTTTCACATGTAACAAGCATACCCTTTTCCTTTTACACACATAACAATTGGATGTGTGGCTTTCTACAAGCATAAATCAATTAATAGTAGCAAATTAGATTTCCTTATTTCCCATGTTTCAAGAAAGGAACATTGCCAATGATTTCTGGAGATTTCATGTAACTTTTTTTCAATGCTAACTGAAATTATAACTATTGTTTGTTTTTAAAAGAAGTAAAATATAAATCGTGAGTGGTTAAGGCAGATTTTGTCCATTTCTGGAAAAAAATTCAAAAGGGAAATTTCAGACTCTTCTAACATTGCACATCTCCCCCTTTGCCCCAAAATAATTATAGCACAGAATATATGTGTGTTCTCAACACTTTGAGTACAAAAGCTGTTCTCAAAAGCTGTGCTACAAAAGCTGTGCAGACAGTTTGTCCACGCTTTGTCCACCATTTTAAGTACTAATCGTTTTTGTTTATATAACCGTATGCTACAAAGTCACTTGGATATTGCAAATATCCAATAAGAAATTTAAAAAAATATCCCAGAACTGTATTGCTGTTTTATTTTTCCTGCCAATATTAAGGAATTATTCAATTTTACTTGTATTAATATTGGGGGGGGGGGGATCTCGCAATTTTGCTTAACGACACTAAACACAACAGAAATAATGACAGTAGAAGTGATTCCAACGGCTACTGCCAAATTACAATTCCCAGTTGCAATATTGGCTGGGAATTCTGAACATTGTAGTCTAAAAACATTTATGTACATATGTATATGTATATAAATCACTATCATAGTGCCCACAATCACATGATCATAATTTAGGTACTTGGCAACTGGCATGTATTTACAATAGTTGCAGTGTTCCAGGTTCACAATTTGCAACCTTTCTGGATAGCTTCAAACAAGCAAAGTTAATGGGGGAAGCTGGATTTACTTAGTGACTGTGGTGATTCACTAAATGACTGGCAAAAAGGTCATAAAATTAGGCATGGTTGTGGTCAACAACTGCATCACTTAGCGATGATGTTCCCATCCCAATTGTGGTCATAATTTGAGAATTACCTGTAATAAGTTTAAGCAACCTGTGAGTTTTAGTAGGAAGTAACCAAATCAGAAAGACACACACTGTAATGTGCCCTACATATAAAAATGCTTAGTTTTAGGAGAAAATGTTTTTGAAAAAAATGCATGTATAATTTTCACAGAATATTTCATTTTTTTCCTAACTGAACTAAGGATAGTTAAACCTCTGAAAAGATTTATCTATCCTTACTTGAAAAGCTCAAGAAACTGTTAAAAATAAAAGTAAGTTGTTGTTTTTTTTTGAAAAAAATACTATATATTTACTGGCCTGATAAATATTTGCTCAGTATGTTGCTCCTTAAATTGTTTTTCGGAAGCTTACAACACTGGGAAACCTACTTTAAATCAAAACTATTTGTTTTAATCTTAATATAGGAATATGTTAAAAATACTTTTTACAGTTTTTTTAACCAACTTTTTAAAAGTCAAAGGAAGGGGGAAAAAACTACTGTAGAGTTTTTAAAATTTCAAAAAACTCTTTTAGTAATGCTTTTTCCCGTTAGATTTGAATGTGCACATATAAAATAAATAAATAAATAATTCTTTCAAATGTTAGAGAGGTTGTAAAAAGGGGGATAAATTTTTCATTTGTAACGGTCATGTGATAAAGCTATATCTTTTTGGCATAAAATATTTGGAGAGATAAGTAACATCAACAAAGAATTAAATGCTTCCCAGAGCTGGGCTTACCACATTAATTTACAGGATCAAATCTCAAGCTTAAAAATAAAGAACATATTATCTATTTAATTTTACTAGCCAAAATAATTACACAATACTGAGAAACATTAAATAACATGTTAGAGTTCTGGATTAACAAAATCTCTTTAATTGCCACATTAGAAAAATGAAGTTAAAAGATGAAGCTAAAATAAAGGAAGAACCTCAACAAATCAAATTTGGTTGATTTATTATTTTTCTCAAAAGCAATAAACTATAATATGGTCTATTTACATATATGGTACATTTGTACTTTACACTCAATGCGGTACTTTTTCTATTTTCTACATTCTTTTTTCCCTTATATATGCATCTTGGATTTATGTTAATGTAGTTACCTGATACTATTTGATAAGTATAGTTCAATAAAAGCAACGGGGGAAAATCATCAGAATTCCCAGCATCAAATGAAAAATTACAGGAAATCAAGAACAAAAAAGAAATGCTTTTTCTCCTCCCTTTCCATTTATTTCAAAATTGCTAACCTAAATATTTGTACTGAACATTGAATTTATTGCTAATGTCTGCTTAATTTGCTTAATTTGTTGTTTTTCATGGTCTCATAATCTTATCTAAAAACTATATTCCGAATGTCTTAATTTTTCTTGCTCTGTGCTATGTATAAGGGAGGCATTCCTGCTAACATTTAGCAATATGTCTATTATGGACATATATTGTCAATTTTGCCACTGCTGCATATTCTCCAATTTTGGTCTCTTGATCTTGCATCATTGGCAGTTTCTCTTTCCCACTATTATACTAAATATGTCCTAGAAGATATTAGCATGCATCTTAGTAAACTGTGGTATTTTGATTTATATTTTCTGGACTTATACCTAAAAGAAATATTTGCAGCTTCAATTCAATATTTATTTTGTTCAATTCTACTTTTAATTATCTTAATTTAGAACCAAATAAATCCATTTTAAGATACAACAAAAGCCAGGTGGTTCTTCAAGTCAATTAACAATGCCTTCAGTATCTATACAAGTCAGAATTCTCTTATTTAGAGTTAATGTACAATCATCCTTACCTTCATTTGGAGAAGTTTTCAATCTTGTACAGATTCCATATACATCTCCATAGCATTCTTGTATTTTATGCAAAGCATCAGCAGCTCGCAGTTCCATAAGTGTACGAAGCTCTTCAAGTGTAATACCAAAATCTCCATGATTAGAATCTTTTATGGTGTATTTTACACCACTATATGCCACTGAGTTGTTGGCCATGTCTCCCATGGTGTATAGTTTTCAAAAGTAAAAAGTTTCCAACAAGAAACAATTTTGTATTTTGAGTATATCCAAAAGAAAAAATAAATCCTTTGTATGTAAAAACCATCAAATATGCAGATAGAAATCAACTCGAAATAGCCATAAGACACCTTGTCCAGCAGTGTTATCTTGAGTGTATTCCCATTGTCTGTTCCTTCATTTCACTTCTACCGAAAGGTAAATGCTATCTGCAAATAAAAGAGAGTTCACAGTAATAAGATGCAATATTTTCACACAAGCAGTCCATTCATTGCTAACAGTAAACTGTATTGTTATACTTGTGATTCATAATGCCTGTTTGCTATTATAGATGATATGCAAATATGATTGTGCTTGTCTTTCCCACATTCTTCTGTGCATAACTCTTTATATTTTTCAATGTTAATAACACACTACCTAGTCTAATTTTTTCCTTCCCCTTTATATCAGATATTTCTCGCCTCTATCCTTTCTCAACTACACTGTGGTCCTTGTCTTAATCTGTCCTTCTATCTTTCGATCTCTCCTTTCTTCCATCATTTCCTTCTAATACCTTTTCTACAGCATTGAACCCATACTACAGTATTTTTAAATTTACTTTAATTCATTGCTGTCTAATTGCCCTTTCCTCTTCAGTTTAAAGTGACTTTAGTGAGCTTCCATTAATTAATTTAATTCCCTTCAGCCTAATTTTTGCATTTCATAATTTTTGCATTTCCTTTCAAAAAGGACTGACCTTAACAATTCAAAATCAGAACTAAAATCAGACTTCACGTGGTCCTTAAGTTACAACCATTTGTTCAGTGATAATTCATAGTCATTACAGATGCTGAAGGTAGTGTTGTAAGTCCCCAAATTTACACCCTTTCCAGCCACCCCAGTCATAGGATTGTAATCCGGGCAGTTAACAACCCATTCACAGTTAGCCTTGATTGCCAAATGCTCTGTGATCGTACTGTTATGATTTGCAAACTTCCCTGTGATCATGTGAATACCATTTAAAATTTTACTGGCAGTTTTACCAGAAACACAATGGGGAAGAAGCAGACAGGGAAGGCCGTAAGCACTGTAGTGTGCCAAGAAGATTCTGTCTAGTCTTCAGGGACTGGCTTAAAAAGTTGCATCGTAGAACCCAAGCAAGATTTTTAGCCCCAGAGCAGAGCAAGGGATGAAAATTCTTCCTGCTGAAATCCAAGCAGGACAGCGCAGGCCATGTACAAGGTGAGAGGTGCTACAAACTAGTCTCTCTGGGACTGAAAATTCTGCTAGGATTTCAGTGATTCTGCTTCATGACCCACAAGATCATTTAATGACCTCAACTGGGTGTGCTAGGATTGCTGTCACTGGGTAAAGCTATGACATCTGGCTTACCTACAGACGCAATGACCAAAATTAAGGTCCAAACTGTAGCTGTAAGTTGTGAACTACAGTCTGGCCAAGAAGCACCTGATCTTATAAATAGCTTAGAAATTTTATACAAAAAGAAAACAAGAAAATCACTTTTACACACAAAAAGTTAAAAATAAGTAACAATTTTACAGCAGTTGATCAATTGTTTGGTTTGAGAAATATGAAAACCTAGGAACATCTTAAGTGGGGTATAACTTTATAAGATCTAAGATTGAAAGATATTAGATATCACATTATTATCCTCTGTGCAAAACAATTTGAAATCTCAGCAGACAGTTCTTTAGCTAGTGTGGGCCTTCATACGGATCACATTCTTCCCAAGAACCTATAATGTTATAATGTGTAGATACACTGTTCCAAGGAATGTGGCCTTTTGCAATTGACAGATGGAAATTTTGTCAAATGATGATGATGATTTATTCCAAGATAACTTCCTAAGTATGTTTTTGATTGATTCATTACATAACTAATAACTTCATAACTAATATTTATCAAAAACAATTTAAGAAGATCCAATAAAGTTTTAAACTAAATGCATTTTTGTAATTTTATTATAAGCAATTCAGAATCAAACATAATTCTTGTAAATATTCTTACCAAATAGGTTTCTAATGTTAAACATCATTATACAGTACTTGCTAATTGAAAATGTATCCATGACACACTCTGACACAGAGAGGTAAACATGTATTATAAATTGTTTCAATTATACAAATGTGCAAAAAATAAAGTGTAGAAGAGCTGCTCATGCTTGCGAAATTTTCCAAATGTGCAAGCATATCTGCACCTGTGAAAATTACCAGCTTACAAACCCATTTCCTAGTTAATGATTAGGCTAGAAAAAAAAAACATTTTTTGTGGCAGAGGGAGGGAAATTCAACAAGAGCTGCAAACTCCAAGTGGCAATTTAGATCAAGGTAACTTACATCAGGTATTTAAATAAGCCATAAGATAGCTGCATAAATTAAGTTTCCCACTGATACTTACTGCCTAAGCATGCTTCCTTATCTAATAATTAACTTGTGTTAATTTACAGAAACAGAATTTATTTATATAACATTATTCTTAAAAACACTTAAATAGGTATAAATTCAAGTTTAGTTTGTGGCTTACTCTTTTATTTGAACCGTAAAGAACTAATCTCTTTTTTCTTCCACTTATGTTCCTAACATATCTTGTCCTTTTAATTTAAATGGCTGAAAGACTGGCCCGTCTCCCTCAAATTCATATGAATCACAATAATTCCCCAGAAAGTGGAATAAAAGTATAAATATGATCAGCTACATAATTGGAATAATGCTGACATTTCTACTGCATTTCATGAAATGTTCCTTTCTTTCCCAATTTCTTTTCTTATCTTTAATTCTATTCTTAGCTAATTTCCATATTTTTACAATATTTTCACTTAATTCTTATTAAGATAATTAAGATGATTCTTATTATTAATAACTTTATCCTCTTCTTGTTAGTTATTGCTAGTTTTAAATATAATGTTAAGCCTTCGGGTGATTGCTTGATTTTAACTTAACCATGTTATATGAATCTAATCGCTCTGGACTCTGTAAATCATAGTTCAGGAATACATACGAGTACATCCAGCCTCACTAGAGTTCTTCAGCAATAAGTTCACAGTCTTCAAATCTTCTTTAGATAGTTCCTCTGAGAATCTCTACAAGCACATTGGCTTTTCCTAAAGACGGCAGCTTTATTTTTTCTATTATGACCTGTGCCTCTTGCTTCGGTCACGCACTGTTTCCTACTCTGTTTCCTTGATGGACAGAAAACAGCTGAAGTCTTACATCCATTGAAAAGCTTTCCAGAATATGCCATGAACTGCGTGTCTGTCAAAAATCAAGTGATTAAGCAGAGCATAATTCCAAAAAGAAAGTTAACAGAACAGGCGTTGGCTTAACTGAACGCAGTTTCTCAGCATGTCTTGGGATAATCCACACATATGGGTTGAATATGCCTTTCTGCCCAGAGACTGAGTCATCAATCTTTGGCACACCTCTTCCTGTCAGGGCAGGAAGCCCCCTAACCCCAGTCACGATGAAGGCACAGCCATTTGATGATCTTTCTGTGGCATTGGCTCTGCCTCCCACCTGGACACTGGACTAGATGGTTGCCAGGATGGAGTGGATTATCCCAAGGCATGCTGAGAAACTGCATTCAGGTAAGCCAGCACCTATTCTTCAGCATGCCTTTGGGACAATCCACACATATGGGACATACCAAAGTTGGCAGTCCCTATGGGCGGGAAGAAGTCTGGTCCTGTGTACTCCTGTCTGTATGCACTCGCTGTAGCACTCTTCTGCTGAAGGCCGCCTCTGCTGAAGCATATGTGTCCATACATATGTGTCTGTAGTGCTTTACGAATGGAGATGGGGAGGACCATGTAGCCACCCTGCATATGTCTTCAAGTGAGGCTTGCATCACCCAGGCAGCAGTGGTAGCTGCGCTTTTAGTCGAGTGAGCTGTTACCCATCTGGGTATTGGAAGAGCCTGAGTCTCATAGGCCTTGGCTATACAAGCCCTGATCCAGCGGACTATAGTTGAAGAAGAGACTTTAGTGCTCACTGAGGATGGCTGAAACAAGACGAACAGGGCTTCAGTTTTATGATACGCTGATGTACATTTGATGTACCTACAAAGAGCCCTCCGAACATCCAATTTGTGCTATCTGTGCTCTCTGTCATGTGAAGGAGCAAGGCAAAAGTCAGGAAGAACGATTTCCTGAGCTCTGTGGAAATGAGAGTTTACCTTTGGGATGAAGGAGGGATTGAGGCTCAAGACAACCCTGTTGTCGTGGAAAGTGCAGAGGTCTTCCCTGATGGAAAGAGCTGCCAATTCTGATATGCAGCAGGCCGATTTGATGGCCACTAAGATGACGACTTTGAGTATTAAAAAGCGTAGGCTTACTGATTGAAGAAGTTCAAATGGTTCCTGAATAAGGACTTGTAACACTGTAGACAGGTTCCAAGAAGGATACTGTGGACTGTCGGTGGTTTAAGATTGACAGCTCCTTTAAGGAAGAAGCAAACGACCAGAGGATGAGCCTCTTCCTCTTCCCGGAGTGCAACATGGTGGGCAGGGCTGTAAACTGCCTGCATAGCGTACTAGGAGAGAAATCTTTGTCGAGTCCTGTTGTAGAAAGTCCAGGATCTGTGGCACTGAGGCCGCAGTTGGGTCCGTGCCCTTCTTAGTGACCCACAGATGGAATGCTTTCCAGGTAGCGTCGTATATCTTGTTTGTGGAAGGCCTCCTGGAGGCTTGTGTTGTTTTGATAACCTTTCTAGAAAAGTTATCCCTCCTCAGGATCTTCCTCTCAAGTGCCAGGCAGTCAATTGGAGCCACTGAGGCTCCGGGTGTTCCAAGACCCACTGGCTGAGAGATACCCTGTCCTGAGGAATCCTCCATGGGTAGGACACTGACAGGCAACTAGATCTGCATACCATGACTGTCTGGGTCAGTGGGGAGTGATGAGATGATTTCTGCCTGTTCTTGAAGTACTTCCCTTATCACCCCAGGCATGAGGGAAGAGGACGGAGAGACCCTTGGGCCAGCGGCTGTGAAGGGCATTTACCCCTTCTGCGCCCGGCGACGGGAATCTTGAGTAGAATCTGGGAAGTTGGGTGTTCGTTGGAGTGGCCTCCTGAATCTCTGAGATATGTCCTGGAACAGATCTGGATGGAGACGCCACTTGGAGTTGTCCACCCTGATCCTGCTTAGGTAATCTGCCTGGACATTTGCTATCGCTGATATGTGCTGTGCCTTGATTGACAATAGGTGAGCCTCCACCCAGATTCCCAGCTGCTGTGTTTCAAACATGAGGGATCTGGAGTGGGTCCCTCCCTGGTGATTGACTATGCTTTGGCTGCCACATTGTCCATTAGGATCAGCACGTGTTGGTCAGCTAAGTGAATGACTCTCAGTTCTAACCAGTTTATGTTGTGTTGAAGGTCCGCTGTGGACTACTGACCCTGCGCAAGCTGGGACTGTAGATGGGCTCCCCATCCCAACAGACTCACATCTGAAATGACTGTAATGTGATTGGTTTCCTTGAATAGGGACCCCTTGGTGATCGCTGGGGATATCCACCACCTGAGGGAACTGAGGACATCTGACCAGAGTTGGACCCTGACATTGGAGGTGCTGGTGCCTGCTCTCTGAAACAGTAGGAGGAACCATTGGAGAGGACTGGCGTGCAATCAGGCCCATGGTACTATGGCTATGCATGAGATAAATTTCCCCAGAAGCTGGGAAAGCACCGCCAGGGGAACCGCTCGCTCCGCTGTGACCTGGGTGATCAAGGACCTGATGCTGTCCTGACATTCCTGGGACAAATATACCTCGCATAGATTTGGGTCTATCACCGAGCTCACATGAAGGAGGCGGGTGGAGGATGTTAGCTGGTTTTAGAAATTGATTGAAAATCCATGGTTCTGTAGGATCCTGGATTGTGTAAGTCAGGTCTGATTTGGCTTGTTGGCTGGAACTGAACTGGATAAGGATGTCATTCAGATAGCATTGGACTTGC